TGTAGGGCAAGGCTCTCTGTGATGTGGGACACAGCTCCCCAACATGAGGGGCTGTGCCCCTCATTACATGGGGCACAGTCCCCCACAGCGTGAGGCACAGCCCCGCAATGTGTGTGACACAGACCCCCAGGGTGTAGAGCACAGCTCCCCAAGGTGTGGGGCCATAATCCGCCGTGGTGTGGGACACAGACCCCCAAGTCATGGGGCCCAGCTCCCCAGGATGTGAGGCCACAGCCACCCCAGGGCAAAGGGCCCAGCTCCACAACGTGTGGGGTCACAGCACCCCATGGTGTATGGCCCAGCTCCCCACAGGGTGCAGACAACATGTGGGGTCACAGCACCCCATGGTGCCCAGCTCCCCACAGGGTGCAGCCACAGACCCCCAGCGTGTGGGGCACAGACCCCCAAGACGTGAGCGCCAGCTCCCCAAGTTATGAGGCCAAAGCCCCATGGCGTGGGGCGCAGCTCCTCACACGCGCAGGGTCCGTCCCACAGGGCAGGCCTTGTAGGAGCCTCCTCTTCATGGGGCCCCAAAAGAGGCCACCAAAAGATCACCCTGCACGTGAAATAAGACGGAGCCATTCGTCTCTGAACAATTGTGTTTAATCAAAAAAGCCGAGAAACCGAATCCTTAGTATGCTCTATTTATAGGAATGCAAGGACAGGAGATGTACAGTTTGAAGCTACGTCTGTAATGATCACATATACATATATATATATATATGTACTGCAGTATAGTCATAACAACATGTGACAGAAAGTCATCACCTCACAACAGTACACATGAGTGATTGGCCTTACAAAGAAAATATTTACAAACTTACCTTTACAAAACAACATTGTGTGCATACAAAATGAAATCTGCAATAAAACTGAAGATACATTTAAGGCAGACCAGCAATACACTGAAATAATTAAGGCTGTGGAATTACTTTGCACCTTGAAAATGCTGAGCAGTTAGCAATACTGTTTCTTTTTTCCTCTTTCGACAGATCATTGCAAAGATTGAAAAGCATCAATATATTCCAGCTGCTTGCTCTTATCTCAGGCAATAAGCCTGAGTTTTGTGGGGTTTTTTTATCCTTTCTATTGCATTTGCCTTCCAAAAGTTTCAGCAAATTTATTTCAGTGGCAGAGCAACGCTGAACAGTTTCTTAGAAAGAGAAGTAAAAGCACCAGCATCAGGAGTTGGACATGAAGGCGAAATATGGCTTGAGTAGAGATGCTCTTTTTTACTTTTTTGACTAGCTTCATATTAAAGAATACAGTTACAGCGAATATTCAGCATCCTGACGCTACGGTAACACTCACCACTGTACAGATCCCGAGACGGGGGTTCATCACTGGATGGCAGTGTGCAGCCAGCCTAGCACAGCGGGTTGACCTGGTGTCCTCGGGAAAGCACCGTTTCCTGCCAGGGTGGGACGGAAGGAGCTGGGAAATCCCTGACCCCCCTGTGCTACAGAAGCGTCTCTGTCCGCAGGGGCAAGAGCCGGGGGCGCGTTGACCATCCGCGAGGACCTTGTATAAACGTCGCAGCCCTCCTGTCTCCCGCCGACGTTTATATTAACCGAGGTCACTTGACACCCTTCTCTCATTGCGAGGGCATGAAAATGCAGTTATATACAGCCAGGTCACACTGCGCGGCCCTGCGTTGAGCTCTTCGTAGCCTTTGGTCATGCTCTAGGTATCAAAGGCCTAGCGGTATCTTCGGGAACGCTACCGATCTCCACCGAGACCGCAGGAGCTGCAAAGGGCAGCTGAGGGCACCAGTGTTGCCTTGACATTAACTTAGTCTGAAAGTAAAATGCTTTGAGATAAATGTCACTGGCAAAAATTAAAGTTATTTGAAATTACAAGAAGGCAGCGAGGCCAAAGAATACCCATTGGTAAGAGTAAGAAGAGCTTCTGTAACCGCTTTGGAACCGAGCGCCAGGCTCCAAACCTGCTAGATCTGCAAGGAGGCCACAGTTTGGCTAGAAGCGGCCTCGGGAGGGCAAGGCCACGACACCTGCGCTGTGTGCATCGTACGGCAGCGCTTTATGTCACTGTGATGTTCCTTATTCAAGCAGAACAATTAACAAAATCCTTCAGGTGAATGTAAGAATGGTTTGTAATCATAAACGTATCTGGAAACATTGACAGGTTTGATTTTTCCTGAACAGGAAACGAGAAGTGCCCAGGAAGAGGGTTTTTTAATATGACTGGGAAAAGCAAAGTCGTAAAGGAAAACAACCCCATAACACCCGAAAGCCTCAGAGTTCACTCTTCTGAAGAGGAACCAAGAACTAAAAATGTGCCTGCTTTCAGCCTTTGTTTTTTCTCTATTTAATAGCAAGCAGATGCTCAAATAGTCCCTCAATCAATTCATCTTTTCCCCTCTCTGTGTCCAAAGTGTCTGTTGCAGCAGTTGGAGACATGAATGCAAGAAGTAGAAGCATAAAATGATAAATAACTCCAGATTTCATGTGATACATGAGAATTTGTTTCTATTAATGCCAAGCTGAAACTCTGTGGCTTAGACTGAACCCACAGGCCTAATAAAAGCTGTGGGTTTTATAAACCACACTTCCATAAACATTTTTTTAAGGGCAGCACAATCACAGCACAAAGAACCAGCTTTGACAGGCAGGAGGGACAGCAAAGAGAGGCCTGGAGCGAGAAAGTACCTGGGGCTGCTGCTAAGTAGAGATCCCTGTACGGCCACTGTCTGAAGACGTCTCTGCTGCCAGGAAATCCCACACACTGCCCTCCTGCTCGGGATGAGGCTTTGTTCTTCATCTACGAGGAGCTGCTGAATTGCTGAGAAAATCAGCTGTGGCACCGCAGATAAAAACCGAAACTGGTCCCTGCTGACGTAGGATTTCCAGCCTCCCGTGTCCCTTCCAAGCCTTTGGGTGACTTTGCCCTGTGCTCAGTCTCCCCGTGTCATCCACGCAGCCCTGGCTCGGCCTCCTGCCCCGCCGGGGTCTGTCCGTGCATCAACTTGGCTCTTGCCCTGATGTCTCAGGATAGTCTACGGCAAGTGCGTGTGGACCCTAGGAAAAGCTTTGGTAACAAGTGACATCCCAGCTGCAGGCACAGCGAGGGCTCTCAGCACCAAGGGCAGGTACTCACGTGCCGGGGACCCAAGGGGAGCAGGACGGGGAAGCACCAGCCAGAGAGGGTCTTCCCCTCCCAACCCCTCTGCTCAACAGCAAAGACTTGGGCAGCCTGTGCACTGCTGAGTTGTCACTGCAGATCCCAATGGTGGTCGTGCTTAAGGCTGGTTCCGCCACTGTAACATCAACATGATGATGTTGCAACTTGGCTTGTGAGAGAGAAATATTTCCTGTTTTCTTTTTATTTTATTACAAATTAGGCTTTGGACATTAAAAATATGCTTACGAATGCTTTGGTGATGAGGTGCTAAGGGCGGCTGGAGAATTATTTACAAGTCTGTGAATGAAATGACATACTTCAAACATTGAAAGCAATTTGCAAGCTGCAAGCACAAGGATGAACTCACCACTTCTACTGCACTTGGAAAGGCTTTAGATGGACTTTGGGCCAAGCAATTCTGAAGCTAGAAATGGAACAGGATCCTTTATATTTATATATTTATATATATGATACAATATATGTATACTGAAAACCTGTGATAGAAAAAAAATTGTCTTCATCGTCATCATCTAGTTTACAGATACTGCAAAAATTGGACACAGCCTTTTCTCAATGCACAGGTTTTGCAAAAGATTTCTGTACAGTGTTTATAAAACGCTTTAAAAAAAAATCATAGTCCCATTGTGCTTAGTCAAAAATAGCCGAATGCCCCAAGGCACTCGCTGCCTTGGCCGTAGTTCCAAAAGGTACCGTGGGTTGCCTTGACGTGGCTGAAAGCCCAAGGAGTAACATGGGGTTTTTGCCTGTTCGCGCACTAACACGTGACGAGAGCGCACCTAGGTCACGTCACCACAAAGATCCCAACAGGAATAGGGGCCGATGCTTCCTGTCCTTTGCAGACAGTCTCCACAGGGCAACCAGGGGGCCTTGGGCATACAGGGCTTGCAAAATCCAACCTGGAGCGGGCCTGCAGCACCAACCGGACTCACTCCAGTTCTGCAGGGCTGCCTGCGGTCGGCTGAGCCTCGCTCCACGCTGTTCTGCTCCTGCCTGGCCGTGTGCCTCGAAAACAGTTTAGCAAGACGAAGAGGGCTTTGTTTAGCGGGCTGCCTCGCAAGGGAAAAGGCACCTGCGAGTTTGGCTCTCGTTTCCAGCCGGTGTTTTCGACGGCCCCGCTTTACGGCAGACGTGGCAATGTGAGGTTTCCCAAGAAGAGCCTCCGGGGGAGGGAAGCAAGTCCCTCTCTGAGGCTGCCCCCTCCGCTTTGCGTCTGGGAAACGGGGTAGAACCGCGGCCGAACTGGAGCCTTCCGTCAGGGAAACGGCGCGGAACGCGGTGCCGGAATCAGACTATGTACAGAGGGATCCGCGCGGCGCGGGTCCCTCGCCCGGCGCGACGCGGCCGGGCGTTACGTGCCCGGGTTCAGCCTGCTCATGAGGAAGCTCTTGACTCCGGGCACGGGGTGCACGTCGTACTGGTGCCTGCGGCGCTCGATGAAGGAGGCCAGGCGGGAGGTATCCAGGGGGATCTTGGAATAGCTGCCGTTGTGCGGCTGCAGCCAGGGGTGCTGTAAACAAGTGGCCGCTGTCGGCCGTCTCCTGAAGTCTTCCTGAAGGATAACGGTGATGAAATCCCTGGCAGCGTGGCTCACGTCAGAGAAGTACTCCGGCGGGAAGCTGAAATCTACTCTGCACACGTTGATACAAGTCTCCTCTCTGCTTTCATCCAGGAACGGAGAGACACCGCTTAGCATGACATAGGTGAGGACCCCAATGCTCCAGATGTCCGTGCTCAGGGAGACAGGAAGGCCTTGGATAACTTCTGGAGCTGCAAACTCCGGATTTCCGAGGAGATGGTGGACATGGTAGTGACCTGTGATTTGCACCGCATCTTCCAAATCTATGAGCTTGACACGAGGAACTGGGATTCTTAGGTCAATGAGCAGATTTTCCGGCTGTTGGAAAGATGATAATGGAAACTCTGTTATGTGGTTACACGTAATGATGTTAAACGCTGCTCCCACACCACGTACTGCTGAAGGGGCCCCCGGTGCAAACCAAATCACTGTTGCTGTCAATGGCTGGATGCAGCTGCCAGTGCTCCCAAGTGCATCCTTGCATGCACACTGCCAACCAGAGGGCAGTTTCATCCCAGGTTTTCCCCCTGGTCTATCAACTGTTTCCTCAGAAATACATATAAGATGCATTTCTTCCTCTCAGTAGGAAGCTGCACATTCCCTGTGTGCTCTGCTCTGGGGGCTTACCATGGGTTTTGCTTTCTTTGGCACTGAGAAAATTCATAAATTTACTTCTTGCACCCTTTCTAGATTCACTTCTCCTGTGGCCCCTCATCTTCATGCAGATTTTACTGCTACCCCATGTCTACATATATAAAGCAAAACTCCTCACACCGCTGTTCAAATCTCCCCACTTGCTCCTCTCCTGTACAGTCTCCACCAACAAAATCCACGTGCTTTAGGGCAGGATCCTGGGTCAAGACTAGCTCCATGGATAACTCTCCTGGCATTGCCTCTGACTCCTGCTTCCCGCTCAGCAACAGAAGGTGCTTTATTTAGCACGCTAGTTCAAGAGAACTGTAAATAGGTCACAGAAAATAGACTTCCCATCTTGTTTGGGAAAGTGTCTCATGATCAGTTGAGAATTCAGTGCAGTTCCTTACTTACAAATAATATTTACTTTTTGACATGTCCTATAAATACAGCAGAAAATAGAATCCTACAGAAAGAAACCTGGATAATGTAACCTTTTGGGACTAATTTTCACATAGAATATTCTACGGAAAAAAAAAAGGCAACTTTTTTTGTAGGTAGGCAACAGAAGAATGAAAGCTCTGCCTCAAATGACATGCCTGGGGAGTGCAGAGTTGAGAAGTGACCTGCAAGGTGCTGCAGCCCCCGCTGTACGAGGAAGCTAAGTTTGCCTCAGTGCCTGTTTTTAATTAACAGATAAGTCTGCATAAGCATCTTGCAAAGTAAATCACCAATTATCTGATATCCGTGGCAGCCTGAATCAAAGCTGCAGACCACAAAGCTCATGACGTCTGGTGGTAACTGCAGTCACCAGTTGCCACCTGCGAGCCCGGGGCTGCTGGCGAGGGCAGCACCAGGGCACGGAGCGCGGGGCCTCGTGACACCTCCCTGCTGCGTCACCAGCGAGTCACCAAACGGTGCCTGGTTTACTCGAAGGAAGGAGGCTGGCGCTGCAGGTCCCTACAGCCTCTCAGGTCACCTTGCACTTGAGGGGTCCGGAGGAGGCTGCTTGTCCCTGCAGGCCATCCCCACTGTGGGGCACAGGCTGCTCCTCAGCAGGGAGCTGCTGTGCCAGGCCCTGGGTAACAGCATCACTCTCCTTCCTTCTCACCTTGATGTCTAAATGGGCCACTCGGCAGTTGTGCAGATACTGCAAGGCTTCCATCGTGTCTCTGATGTAGAAAGCTACTTTCTCCTCCATGAGTTCATCGTGGTTCATCAGATACTCCAAGAGACGACCATCGTCCATCCTGCAAACAAATCGCACACGAAAGGCCCCGTGACGTCTCCCCGGACAGTTAATACTTGAAAACAAAACTGCAATGGAAACTTTGTGACCTGAAAATGGAGGAGGCTAAATTAAAAGATCTGAGGAGTATTTAATGATATCTCAAGATACTGCAGGCTCTGGAAGTGGTGGAGTGATTAATCCTCAGTTGTTATCTGTGGTCCTTGAAAAATTTAGCAGCGGTCTCAAAGTACACTAATTTGCTCAAGGATGTATTCAATAGATGGAGGCAGTTCCTTTGCAAAACAGATCCATTTAATTACTTGGATTTGTCTATTTATTTATAGAGCTGGTTGCATAACGCAAAAAAAAAAAATCACTGACATTTTCAGCTGGTGATATGTTCTGTGGGAAAACTAACCCAATAATTTTTTTTCCACCTAGTTTTATTTATCTGTATAAATAAATAAGCAAATAGCCCAAATATACTTTGTTGCTTTTACTCTAACAAAGAAGCATTTTGGATTTCAGCTGCTATTATTTCCTTTTGCAGGGAAACATAGTTGCTATACTGCTTTTATCACTGAAAAGCTTTAGAAAAACAGAGGCTTAAATCTGGCTAATGTACATTTACTCAAGTATAGAAAGCAGACAAAACTGCCCCAGTAAATCTGGTGCTAGTCAGTGGGATAAATTAGCTGCTGATATAATCGCCCAAGCTACACTGGAAGAATTTTATTTATCGCCCTGAGTCTTATTTACTCTAAGGAAGCAGCAGTGGAAAATCAGCAGAAAACGGCTACGTCACTTGAGGTCACAATCAGTAAGAAAGGAGTGACAAAATCTTTGCCCCACTGAAGTCAGGGGGAATTTTATCCTTGCTTTTTTAGGGCTGTGATTTCTACCCAGAAACTCGAGCAAGCCCCACACACTTACAGTTCCAAAACTAAGATGTACGAAGTAGGAGACTCGTAGGTGTCGTGGATAGTGATGTACTGGGGATGCTGTAGGTGCTGTAACAGGGCTGCTTCATGCGCTGCCTGCTCCTTCTTTTTCATTTTTTTACTAATGAATTTCACAGCAACGTCCTTCCGGGTGGCTTTGTGAACACACTTCTTTACTATGGAGAATCGTCCCCTGAAAACGAAAAAACAAAAAAAAAGGAATAATGAAGAGGACCCATGAATAAATCATGCCTATTTTTCAGTGCAATAACAGAGTGATTTTCAAAGTGTTATTTGATTCAGTGCATTAATATTTCACAAGGAATCAGATTTATCTAGTTGTTCATAGCCTTTTCCAACAAAGAGCTTCTGTCTCTTGCCCTGGGAGTATAGATTCCTTGGGGATTAGCAAACACGGAGAGCAAACAGAGCCACTTCGCTTTGTGCAGGGACAGTGATGGCCTCTAACAACGTCCCGTGGGATCAATTTATGCTGCTACTTTTTACAGGTCCTATCTTTATTTTTTACAGTAGGTCTCCCCTCCCCAGCTCCTTTAATAAAGAGCTCAAATTTTCTATGATAACTGCAAGAAAAGCCTTGTTAAATAATCACCGGCCATCATTTTGTCTCACTGCTTCAGCCATATGGTAAGCAATTAAGAGCAAGAAGCTGGCATGAAAGCATTTAGGAAATGTATAGCAGACTAGTGGCTGGTATCACTACTGAAGGTTAATGTGAAAGAAACCAAGGGCTGAAGTTGCCCCGTTATTAACACATCACTCTTCTTTCTACAGAGCCAGACAGGCGCCTGGTTCTTCAGCCCCTGAATTGCTCGTCCCGTCTCTGAGATAAAGAGCCAAGTGCATTAATCTGGATTGCTCTTCTGTCCCTTATCTGCCGCCTGCACAAAGCACCCAGGCTGACAACATTTGCAGCACCTATTCGGCCCCCTGTTTAACTGATCACTTGAGCATTCAGCAAAGCACTTGAGCATGTGATTTAGGTTAGTCACATGCCCGAGTGTTTTGACAAACTCAGTCTCCGAGGCTTAAGCATATCCAGAACTGGCAAATTATCATGACTTCAAAAGCTCACATCGTATCACAGATGGCAGAAGAGATAAGAGCAATAGCTGGCGGTGGCTGACAAAGGCTGCCCTGAAGAATTGTTCTGAAGTTTGCATTTTGCCAATTCCAATTACAGCCCTCAGATCACAACTGGTCTTGAAAAGAAAATTATTTAGTCAGCATTTTAGCCAGTCTGTATTTTAACCAAAACTGAATGTTAAATGGAAAAAGCCTCAAGACATTGTTTTGGTGTTTTACTTCAGTGATAAGCAGGGTTAATATTACCTCCCGATCTCATGCAGTTCTGCATAAATAAGGTCGAAGTTTTCCTTCCATGAAATAGTGGCACCATCAGCAGCAGAATCTTTGGGAGAAAAAAAAGAACATTAAAAAAAAATGTAAAGTTACAGACAGTTTTTTTCCTGTGGAGTTTAAACTGCATCTCTTTAAATTATGCAATAATGTATTTCTTAAAACAGCAAACGCTAGGAGCCCAATTGCAAATGTCTCTGGCGCAACTCCATGTGCAGGAGCACTAAGAACCGGAGTGTCCCAGGGGAGGGTGGGTGTAGGGTGAGTCCAAACCTGCCCTTGCATTTTGGGGCTGTTCCAGAGGCCCCGATGCAGCCCAGACTAAGGGCCCGTCCGCGCGTGCCGCGGAGCCGGGCTGGGCACGAGCGCAGGCGGCAGCAGCACCGGCCACGTGAGAGCTCTTGTGTCATCCCCCAGGGGTTGCTGGCGCTCACGCGGAACTGGTACTGGCAGCCCGGGCTCAGGTCTTCGATGACGAGGTACGTGTCCAGCGTGGAGGCCACCGACTGCTGCCAGACCTGCGAGCCTGCAGGGCGCAGGGGGAGAGGAGCAGAGCTCAGCAAACACGGTCTGTGTGCGCACCCAGTGCCCGGCGCTGCTGCCCACGCAGCGGGGTGCAAGGTCACACTGGGGGCCCTTTCACAAACCCAGAGCGGCGTGAGAACAAAACACGCACAGGGACTCGCTCTGGCAAGGGCACGCGTCCTGAAAGGGTAAAACCCACTGCTTTTTTAAAGACAAAACTAAGGCAGACTGATTTACTGCAGCTAAATCAGATCTGGGCAATAGGGAGCTATTTTGTGTTGCAGCCACCTTCCAATCTGGCTAAACGAGATGCTTCTCGCTTGGCTGATAGTGATGGAAGAACCACAGCCCAAGGACACGAGGATAAATGTGGATGTCTGGCAGAGCCTGCGGGCTACAGGTGATTCTCCGGGTGGGCAATAACACAGACAGGCGAGGAGGACTCGTCTGATGGCAGCTCAGCTATGAGAGAAGCAGCAGCAGAGCAACACGGAGGAGGCAGGAAGGAAGCCCCGGGTGAAGCTGACAGTGCTTCAGTGCACCAAGTGCTTTGAAAGACACGGTGCTTGCAGGGAAAGCAGGGCAGAGAGGGACACCTGGAGCTGCCAGAGGAGAAACCCGGTCCAGCACGGGCTCCCTGTGGATAAACCGGCCTGCAGCACGTGCCGCTCGGCCACGTGGCCCTCCTCCTAATGGGAACAACACCACGTCACCCACAAAAATGTTGCCTAACCTGTAGCCTCAAAATAAGTAATATGTTGTCCATCTCATAGGAATATGCATGGTCACAAACAGAAAAGGACCCCTATCACATCCTAAAGTTTCTTTCATGAATATATCAAACTTTATCTTAAAACAAGCAAGTTCATAGCTTTTTAGCTTTGTATGATTAGTCAGGACCCATATACTTCATGTGTAATACAAGAAAATTCAGATTGTCAAAATGTACTTAAAAGATCAAGGTTGGTTACGCAGGGAAAAGTCAGTGATTCCTTTGGAGTGGGAGGAATAGTGAAAACTCTTAGACTTTTATTTATTTGTTTTGCTGGCTGTTGTCAATAGAAGAGCTTTTATCCTGTCTCAGATGTGCCAGTCACACTGACGGCAGCAGTGAGGGTTAAGGCTGACTATTTGCTAAGCAGGATTAATCCGATGGTGTGATTAGGTTTGCACATTTACCAGCATGGGGTAGGACCCAGGGAAGAAACGAGGCCACCCACCTTAGGCAAGGGTTACAGCCCAGGTAGCATCACACCTTTGCAGGGTGGATGCAAAGAGGAATGGGACTCATTTCAGATGCCCTCGACCAAAGAGTGTGCCTGTGCATACACGGACAACAGTGCATTTCTTATCTATTCATTTTTGCATGAGTGCTGGAGCTAAGAACAAATGGATTTCAGAGCTGAGCTTGAAAAGTATGCAAGAATCTGCAAAACTATCTAGGCCAAAAAATAATGAGGCTGCTTGTTTTTACGTTCTCAGGAAAAATATGCCAGAATGGTTTGACTGATACCAGAGTGGTGGAACGCAAATGATGAAAGGGTGCTTTGCTGCTGGGCATGTTTTAGCCCTACACACTTACTGGTGCTGGAGGAAAGGGAAAGGTCTGTGATACACGAGGAGCTGGACTGTATAATAGGAAGGTTTCCTCTGGCTTTGTGATCTATGGCACCAGGGGTGCCAGTGGCGGCAAGGATAGTTTGGAGGGTTTATTGCTCCGTAAAGCAGAGCTCCTTGATTCTCACTTTCTCAGTGAGCACAACCCAGGGCCTTACCTTCTTCTCTGTACTCCACGGTGTAGCCTGAAATGGTGCAATTCCCCGTGCTGGACGGGGGCAGCCAGCGCAGGATCACAGAGGTGCAGCTTCTCTCCTGAGCAATGGGGCGACTGGGGGCAGCCGGGACCCCTGGGGAACAGAAAACATCAGCGCAACCCAGCAACACCCCCAGCACCTGCCGAGAGCACCAGTGCGTCATTGCCGGGAGTCGGCACCTCAGAGGGAGGGACGTCCTGGTTTATTGTGTCAAGAGAGCAAGTGCACGCTAGGCAATGCCATGAGCTCCCTTGCCTTGGGTCTGGCACCTCTGTACCAGAACTGTCAGCAAAACTCACTAACGAAGTGCCTCTGGAATGGCACTGGAATGGCACGAGAGTCCCTGCAGGTGCTCCTGTGCGTGAGGCACCTCTGTACTGGGCAGCAGATCGACAAATACCAGCATCACCTCTGTGCTTTGCTTAGGGCTCCCTTCAGCACTGCAGCAGTTAGTGCTGCCACGAACTTGTTTTGATGAATTGGGGAAATTGTATTTGTAGGACAAATTGTGAGAACAACCAAATCAACTTTGAAATGCCTGTGACAGTCCTGCATCCCCAAGTTACCGCACAGACATCCATCTCTAAGCCTTCCCCTTCAGTGTGGCAGGTACCTCTCATTTTTCATGCTGGCATTTCCTTCTCCAGAGCTGGAGGTCATAAGCAATCAGCTCATCATTTTGTATTTGTTACCATTAGAGAGTTCACTAATTATGGTGCTGAGAATTCAGGCTTGGAGACATTTCTCAGAGTTGAACCCCTGCAGAATGGTTCCCCTGGGCCAAATTTTTGCCCTCATCTCCTCTCTCCCCCAGACAGAAGGAGGCTGAAATGGGCATCGCTAGATCCTGTTCTCTGCTCCAGGCAGGCTCTGAGGAGCAAAGCATCCAGAAAGCTGCTGGGAAGCCAGGCTGGACGCAGGATGCCAGAGCTCAACCAGGGCTCACGCATTTCAGCTTCCCAAATGCGATATTTATCATCAGATGAGTTAAGTGCAAAGAAGCCACAATGCCCCCAGCAGCAGCGAGAGCCACGGCCACGGGGGTTCACTTGCCAGCCGACTTTCCGGCTCCGCATCTGGCTGCCTTTGCACCGTGTATTTCTGCGTGTTCCCAGCCACTACAAAGGGACCCGTAAAGGCAAAATACTCACTGTTAAGGTCAGAAACGCTACCTTGGACTTTGATTGTTGCAGAGGTGGATGCTGTTCCGTGTTCATTGGTTGCCACACACGTGTAAATGCCACTGTCCTGAGGCATCAGGTTACAGATCTTCAGGGTGAGCTCTCCGGAGTCGCTATGGATGTGGGAGACCCAGGTTATAAGATGCTGCTTCACTCGCTGATGCTTTCTACCCTGCTTTCTCTGCTACTACATTACAAACACAAGTGCATGCAAACCCTTTTAGCTCATTTGCAGGAACATCCCCCCCAGCAAGCCTGGTATCCAAATACAATGAGGCTGTACATTAGGATTAGACCTCTAATGAGACATGAGTGGAACGGTCCAAATGGGCCCTGCAGCATGAATCTAATTGTCTGTAGCCTCAAAGGAGATGGGCAAAGGTCACACAAGCAGCAAGCAAAGTCCAAGAGTTGAACATTTACTGTGCTTGTCCAGAGCTGGCTGCTGAGACGCCACGCATGTGGAAAGGCCCTTTTTTATACTTCATCTCAGGAAGTGCAAGAGATGCATCAAGCAGCCGTGCAGCGTGGGGTGCCTGACATTCCTGGGAGGCTCCTGCCCCATGGAGCACGCGTTGGGCAGCCCATCTAGGGCAGCTGTGAGCCCCCAACAACAGTGAGGGATAAGGAACTTCAGTGCTAAGGTCTTGAGAGACGCTAAATATTTGGGCCAAACTGAGCAAACAAACAGCTCTACTGAAGTCTGTGAATTTACAGCAGGACTGCACAGTTAGCTGGGCTTGCATACTGCAGCCTGCAATCTGCAGTTTGAGGGACTTGGCTTGAATTAAAGGATTTTGCTTGTGTAACTGCTCTAACTGTACTGGAGATCCAGCTTACAGCTAACAATAAATTCCCTTGATGGCAAAACTAGACTGGTTCTTGAATGCACAAGCTGTGGCAAACTGCAGGAGGGCACCTTTGCTGCTATAACACATTATTTGGCTGGGCACTTTTGGACACTTTTGCTGGTGTAACCGCATAGACACCAGTAGCTTTTGCTGGCCTGACTACACTGGTTTAGATATAAGAGAGAAACATCCCCTTCCCCCACAGGCCAGACGCTCATGCCAGCGAGATTTGTAAGACAGACACTGATCTGTGGGGCCTCTCTTTGGCAGGCAGTGTCTTCTCTGAAAAACAAATAAGAATAACAAGACAATACAAGTGCTGATAGTGCACAGAGAGCGAATGCACAGGCGTGATGTAAAACAGAGCCCCATATGGAAACGTCCCCTCGCGTGCAGCCCAGGCGGGAGCCTGGCGCTCCGGGCACCGCGATCCTCGGAGCAACGGGCAGAAAGGCGACTGCGGGTGTCCCGGAGCGGCCCCACGCGCCAGCCATCCCCGAGGGAATCTCCTGGCCAGGCCTATTTCTGTCGTTGTTGTTGAACATATGAAATCCCTTCTTCTTAGCACTCATTTTTCACTTTCACTGACTTTGTGCTCCCTGGATCCATCTGAGCCTGTGCCAAAAGTGCTGAAAAGTTCACATGAAAGATGGTCTCCTGGAGATTTCCACTCTGATTTTGTTGGCCCAAATAGCTTATATAAGCTGCAGATAAGCATGTAGCAGCAGGCTGTTACCTGACCTGAATTCAACTCCCCATCTTTTGAGATTTTCCCCGTGTTTATTGTAAAGATGTTTTTTCTCCCCCGCTAGCTGGGCTGGCTGCATCATGACAGGCTTCTCTCTGGCCAAGCAAAGCCAGATGTAGCTTTCTGAGGAGCACATGTAGGCTGTTTTTGGAAGAGCAGTTTTGGAAAGCTGCATGAGTTACCACTGCCCAGAAGATGAGAAAATCCAGAGTAATAGGGCTATAAATGAAGAATATAGGAAGCTGATGAGGGCTTGCTCTGCTCAATCTCCATTCCTACGCCAAGGCAAGCAGGACATCAAATCAAAGCAGCCCCCACCAGAGAAGAGGCTTTATTACCCAAAGCTTGAAAACATACTAATTGCTTCTGGATTGAAATAATGAGGCCGTGGAAGCAGAGCAGCTCACACCTGCCAGCAACGCACCTTGTGGACACTCCTGTGCAGCAGCTTGGGAAGCTGCAGCGCTGCCTCATCCCCAGCTGTGACCCCTTCTAGCTGGTGTGTGACGCAGCGACGGGTGGAAGCACCAGCTGCCCTTGCTCAGCTGCATTTCCACTCATTTGTGTGGCCGGCCTGGCGCTGTATTTTATTTGAGGGCAACCCAACCATCGTGACCAGATACTTGCGGGTTCAAAGGCAGGACCTTACCAGGATGACACCGTGTAAGTGGCTGTGCTGTTGTCGTTGTCCAGGATGTTTTGATCGGGTCCTTTCCAGGTTACAGTTGGCTTTGGCCGTCCACAGACTTTGCACTGCAGCATCACCGTGTCACCGAGCAAACAGGTGATGTCCACCAATGGCACAAGGAACTCCGGAGCCACTGGAGCGAAACACAGTGGGGACATCTTGTCTTAATGCACAGTCCCCAGGCCGAATCCAGAGGACACGATATAGGATCGTTTGTCGCTTTTTATAGAGGGGACAGTGTCAAAGTTAAGCCTTTAAGGTCTGGAACCCAAAAGGCTGAGCCCTGGCCAAGGGAAGCCAGGGACTTGCCTTTGCTCTAAAAGATAATGCTATGAAATACACTGTCTCCTGTGAATAAATCACAGCTGATGACTTGCCCGTCAACACAAGTCATTGCACAGCTGTCTTCAACTCACCTTCTTGAATGAAATTTGGGTTGATTATCTGAAAAATACAAAGAAATAAAAACATTTATTTTTTTCTGCAGAATTACAAGCAGACACCGACTCATCGGTACAAGCGACCTCCCTATCGCCCGCACACCTGCAAGCTTCAGTGACAACCGAACAGGCAGGACACAGCTGAAAAACTGCACGAGAGGTGCAGTGTCTTAAGCTCTGACAAAGCACATGCTGCATCGCAGCTAACAGGCACGAAACTGCTGCTGAGGAGGGTGGACTGTGCTTTCCTTCTGTTTGATGATAATGTTGGAGCCAGCAACTCCTTCCTTTCTGGGCCCCGTGGTGCCCCTTGAGCCCAGCTCCAGACACAGCAGGTACCTTTGCTGCACAGGAGGGTGGACTGTGCTTTCCTTCTGTTTAATGATGATGTTGGAGCCAGCAACTCCTTCCTCCCAGCTCCAGACACACCAGGTACCTTTGCTGCACACCCTGGAACATCTCATCTCAACTCAGTTTGGGGAGGTCTTTTAACTTCTGCTCAGCTTAGGTGAAAAGCAGAGACATTACAACAAAAACACTGGCTTCTTTTCACCTACTGACACACATCAGTCCTGCAACAAACCATGATCTGTCACGATGAGTAGATTTTCACTCATTTCATTGCATTGCTGGAAAGCTCTACTGTCTAACTTCAACTAGGCCAGGATAGCTGTGAGCTATATTATCTAACTAGCAAAGGCTTGAAAATATACTGTCTCAATGTGGTCTGTACATAATAATGAAATCATCTTAAACTCACAAGCAGAGCTGAGGAATACCAAAGAAAACATCAGTAAATGATGTAGCATTCTAAAATGCTACATCAACAGTCTAAATTCAAAATGCTGCAAGAGAGCATACAGATTTTAGGCTCATTGGCTGTTTTAATACACTAATAAAGCTTTATCATGTAAATTTCAAACTAATAAATTGATGTCAAGCACCATAAACACCAGAGTAGTTTATTGCATGGCAAATAATACAACTTTGTTACTATCGATTTCAGAGCCATTTGGAAGGTGTCAAGGAAGCAGTGACCTAATCCACAGTCTGCTAAAGCTCATGTGAGTTCTTGCAGAAACTAGACCATGAAGCAGAAGCAAGATAATCTTCAAGATTCCTCTTAATTTTTTGGATTTCTTAGTAATGTTCTCCATGATTCACGGTGCCACTCAGGAACAAGAGGACTGAAGTACATTTAGCTTCTGTCTGGCCATGTTCATAACCCTCACTGATAGCCTCAGGCAAACCTGGTACCAGCACCACCTTCCCAGCTTTTTTCCCCAGTCACCACCTGAAAGTCTGAATGAACCAGGCACAATGTGGAACCACCACTCAAAAAAAGGATGTTCTATGGAGAACATACAATTCATCACACCGGCCAAAACAATCCGTCAGTGCAAATGCTTTACCCTCCGTGCTGCAGAAATGGGTAGGGGCTGCTACGCGTGGGCAAAACCTGGTTACAGTCCCTCACAGTGGGGCCAGTGAGTCCTTCAGGTCCATACCTGGAGGGAAAAGTGTTACTATTTGGGCTCTGAGAGCTGTGACTACCAACCGAGTCCGAGTGCTTTATCTTCATGCAATTAAGAGCAAAGCAGGCTGAAAAACTGGGGGACCCCTCAGCAGGCTGGGGCTTTCTTCTCTGGTTGCATTTGATGGTGGCTAAAAGGGGGCAGAGGGGTGTGAGATGCAGGGGTGATGCAGGGGTGATGACCAAAAAAAGAGCCCCCCAGTTCTCATGGGGCAGGAAGATCTGCACAAAAGGAAAATAAGGGGATAAGATGACACTAGATGGAGAAAAGCACTTTCTCTCCCCTCTCTGTGCATGGAAAAAGGGACGAACCAATTTGATGAAGTTATGTCATTCACGTGAAATGGAAAAGGAAGTAAAAGTTCCTCCAGGGAGAAAGATTTCAATCTAGATAACCATCACTTGACACTTTTCACTCACTGAGACCATCTATTTATCAGATTACTAACCCAAGGCATTAGCTCATTTGCACCTACATCTTCATTTTGGCTGTTCTGGGTTTAACTGCTTGTGGCTCTTCCCTGCAGCACACGCTGAACTCCCTTATTAGTCACTGATCTCTGTCCTCCCAGGATGAGAGATCAGGAGAAGGAAATGTGCCAAACACTCTATATTTACTTTATAATTCTAAAGGCTCCATTAAAACAAACAGCTACAATGATAAATGTAATAGATGTATCTATAAATAAATAATGCTACACTGTTAACGATTTCTAAGGCACGATCATCTGTAATAACTGCCTTACCAAAGAGTTTATTGGATTTCAAAAGGAAAATTATTGCCACTAGATAATATTGGAAGAGTCTGTCGGTAAAAACTACATTTCCTTTGATAAAACTTGGTGTAAATTAATAAAATGTTACCCAAAACCTGTGCACTCATGGCTCAGCTTTTGCCTGATGTAAGTTTAGCCAAGTGTAAATCTTTTCATGGGATTTTTTCAAAATGATTTAATGTATCACCTAAATAAGAAAAAAAACTCTTATTTTTTCATATTTTGAAAGGACAGGGGCAGGTCAAATCACTGCCAGGCCGTCTGCCACTGCAAACTGCCCAGGTTTGCAGGTTTGGGTAGTCAGCAGGAGCCAACAGACTCTTCTGAGCCCTTCGGGCCAAGTGGGGGACCTTTGGAGACGACTTCTTCATTTACTGGACAAGTCTCTGGTTTTAGACTCACCAAGGCCACAGCTTTGCATGGCTTGGGCAGATCCTTCGGCTTGGAAGCTGTGTGGGCAAATGAAAGGCTTCTGGACTCGGCGCTCTGCTGCGCCTGCAGAGCCCCTTTGCAGACAGAAGTGCAAAGGCCAGCCTGTTCCTGGGGCTCCTGCACCAGAGCCCTCCGGATCCTGGTGCCGCCAACCCTCCGGTTGTCCCATAAGGAAGTAGGAAACAAGATTCAGCGAGCTGGTAGGAACCGCAGTGCTGGGAGGGCCTGATGCACAAAGAGGCACCAGGTGGAGAGAAGCGGTGCCGGGGAGCAGGGCGATCCTCGGCCAAATAACCAGCCCAGCCCCGCAGGGATGTGGCTTTTGTGGCGTTTTTCTCATTTCTTCTCCCGAAGCAGCACCATGAGCTCAGCCCTGCAATCGGCTTCACCAAACATTCCTGGCCACGGCAGTGACGCGATGGGAGACAATTGAGGGCCTCAGGATCAACCCCGAGCAACCGCGGCCTCTGCGCGGCCCGGCCGGGCTTGGGAGCGAAACACCGGCAAGGAAGGAGTTACTTGATGCAAGAGCTTGGCACGACTCTCTCAGGCTCCCTCAACACCAGGCAAACATGAAGCTGCGGGGCTAAAACGTGTTGGACAACGTGTTTGGCACCCCAGGTGAGCAGCTGGGAGGGAGCTGCATTTGTTTTCTTGTTTGTTGGCTGAAATATCCACAGCCAAGTCCTGAGCGGGTGGAAAACGCTGCTGCTTCCTCTACAGCCTGAAGAGCTTCTGCTTCTAATACAATAAGAGCTAAAAATGGAAATGCCACCCAAAATGACAAAGGCAGACCATGAAACGAGCGGTCTCTGCTCTCGTGATGGGGGGCTAGAGCTGAGACAAAAAAAAAAGGAAACAAAAGGGTATGTGCTGGTTAGGCAGCAAATAAAAAAGCCAGAAATAGACCCCAATTCCTCCTTCTCTTGCCTGCACGGTTCCAGTTCTTGTTAAACGAGTAGCACATCTTCAGATGAAGAGTGTAACTAAGCTCGTACTACCAAGGCGATCTCCTGGCGTTGAAATGCTCCTTTTGCAGCTGCAAGCTTGGGTGCCCGAGAGGGGCTCCTCCTTTTCATGGGGGATTCGATTCTCCACCACTGGCACCATGTCCTCAGGGCACCCTCCCTGGAAGAGGGTCGCGGGCTCCACGGCAGCACAAACCCACGCGACGGACAGAACTGCCCATCAGGCATCCAGGTTTTTCCCGTCCCATGTTTCAGTCCCATATTAAGTGACTGCATCAAGACAGGAAAAGGAATGTTTTTCCTTACTCTTCCCATATCAAGCACAAAGCTAGAAGGCAACTCCCCTGTCCTAGGACCGTGCTTTATCTAAACACCAGAGGGCATGTTTACTCCAAGACGAGCAGCTCAGCGTTCTGTAAACACTCTGTGGTGTCTCTTGTTCACATGCTTAAAATAAAATACTGATGCATTTGTACATGCTGGTAGCAGACAGCAGCATGCTCCTTGCTCCTTCACTGAAAGAAAAATAGTTATGACTCTCACAAAAATAAACGAACAAAAACACCCCAAATGGGTTACAAAAGAATTCAACCAACTCCAACTGCTAGAGAAATTAATCCCTCCCTGACTAGGGCAACTTTAAGTTTGAAAATTTTGGGGGTCAAAATTCACCATGTTCTCCCCCTCCAAACAACTCCCTGCAACAAACAATGTGAGAAATCCCCTGAGGTGAATCCAGCTACAGATGGAGAGGTGCTGCCAGAGGGAGAATATAATTTAAAATATGAGAATGGTTATCCAAACGTTCCATGGCATCAGCCTTTTAGTGAGGATGTGGGGGTGCCTCTCAGCACGGATGGGGCAGACAGCGAAGTCAGGAGGAGGCGTTTGCTGCTCTGTGTGCAGGCGTGCAAAGCAGACGGCTCCGCTATGTGCTTCCCCTTGCCAGGCCCTCGTGCTCCAGCAGCTGCTGCATTTGCATGGTTATAGCAGCTGGGTTTGTTCCTGGCTTTGAAGGCTACCACACACTCAAGCAAACAAGCCGTAGTGCTCTATCCCCTCCCTCCCTATCAAGCAGGTCCCTCCTTCCTGCTGCCAAACCAAAGTGCCCATGCGGCCGGCTTGGGCAGCTGAGTGTCGGGTCGGTCACCTCTGCGTCAGGAACCGTTGTCCACGCAGGGAAAACAGCTCTGCATGTGGCCCCTGCCACAGGGAAATGCTTGAGGCTATCAGCACCTTATTGATACTAGAGCTGTGGTAAGGGGCCTCCACCAAGAGTGCGGTTCTTTCGTGCTAAACACACGCACAACCATGCCATGTTAAAAATAACACTGTATGTTAAAGGGTTGTCTTATCAATAGCGTACAAGAGCACAGACGGCGTGTTAGATCGGTTTTGGAGATGGAAAAGTCAAGACAGAGAAGTAAAGGCATTCGCTTAAAGTCCTCGGGAATTCTTGGCCTGAGCTGAATGTTGATTTGGAGCCAGTGCTGGATCCACCAAGCCATTACTTACTCAACCACTTGGACTGGGAGGTTGATAGCACAATATTCTTCCTTAGAGTGTATTTCCTAGTGCTTATCTTGCCCTGAGTGTCTTAAAGAAAGTTATTAACATGCTCAACTGTCATAACTGAAAAAAAAAAAAAGATGATGAAGTCCAACCTGTGTACCTTGGCAATACCCCAGCTCACTAATCTAATGATGGCACTTCCACTGAGTCAGGGTGGGCCTGGATTACATCTCTCCTTTATGCAGCTAAGAAACATGAACAGATGTTAGACACTCCGTGCTAGGTCAATCAGGTCTTCGGGCTGCTGCAAGGGTATTAATTTAGGCAAGAGAGGTAGCCCAGTGGGATTTCACAGTTGACTTATGCCCCTTTCAGTGACACCAAACCCTTGTGGCATTACGACACCCCCAATTCTAAGACAATTAGTTGTGTCATTATCCTGGACCCACAACTTGGGTGTGGGTGATGGCCACTGATTCAGAAGGGAACCCACCTTCTTCTCAGGAGCAGAGCCTGCCTGTCCCTGTGCAATTAGCTACAGACATGTGGAAAGGGAGTCTCCCGTCTCCATAAATACAGGTTACTCCATGCCTCACGTGGCTACACCTGCTCCCTAAATACCTGCTCCTACACCTCACGTGCCCAACAGGTGAGTTTGCGCCTTTTCTTCCTGAAACAACAGCACAAAGCAGAAAAATAGGGGAAAAAAAAGAACACATATTTCACTTCAGTCTTTATCCCCTCTCATTGTATATTGTTATACAAAGAGAGAAAAAAAAAGTCATCAAAAAACACAATTTCTATTCAAAGGTCTGCCAGCAAAGTTAAAACAAACAGAAAGTTCTTCAGGCTTCGGGGCCAGCATGTCCATGTACAGGCAAAATAAATGTCTAATGACATTTTAACTGTTCAGGAGTGTCGCTCAGAATTTCAGCTAACTGCTGTCACTATGTATGTTCTTCACATTTCTTTCTTCCTCTCTATAATCTCCCCTGAAACAAAACAAAGCCAAAGTGCTTCAATAATCTGAATTCTACTGTACAGATATTTGATATTTTATAAACAGCAAGCAAAGCTAGAACTGGAAACCACAACAGTCAAGGGACCCCATGGGTATTATGGCCATCTCATCAACTTCTTGGGCCGGGAATAGGCTGGGGATAAAAGGCACCAACATTTCCAAATATCTAATACGGTTGCTTTGCATTCAGAGGCTGCTTTTGTTCTTGCAGCACTGCGTGCACATTCACAGCGTGACGGGAGCCAGCGGGATGTCAACATGTTATGGGTGACACTCATGGTCACCATGATGACACAGCTTCTCTAAGAGAAGCAACGTTGCCCAAGACTGTAACAATTGCTACAGACGACTCCTAAATGACACATGGAGGGCCTCATGCAGCGATAGGTACTGGTGGCTGGGACAGGAGGCAGCTCTCCCATGAGCACTCCCATGAGCCTATAAATCAGTCACGAGCTGAGGCAGGTGTGAGAGTTGATAACCCAGCAGCTACACAGTTAATTCACAGTGCTTCCAAAGGGGGTTTGCAACCCACACTGGGGTCTGTGCTGCTGAGGAACAGCAGCCACCTCAGCTAAAACTGATTACGGATCTGGACTCCAACTTTCTGATATTCTGCCACTACCACTGCATAACTTCCTCCATGGATCTCTTGTTCTGAAGAATCCCTGACCCTGACTTTGGTAGTGCAAGAAGCTTACCTTGCTTCTGTTTCAAAGAGAAAAGACTTTAGCTTCTGGGGCCTTAAGTTCATTTTCATAACTGATAACAAGAATGAAAACATTCATCATAAAGGAAAAGGGGGAACAACTGTGGCTTCCAGGAGAGGAAACCACAGACTGGACTTCCATATGGAAGCTTCCAGGACTACTTCTCTCATGAGCATTTTAGCAGACTGCCCCAGCTCTGCTCTGCTCCTTCAGGATTGTTTTTGTTCAGTTTTATTGTTTTTTTTTTTTATCATGGGTATCTGCAATCCTTCCCCTCTAGCAGCTCTTGGCCAGATCACTGAACTGATCAGACTCACTCCAAGCTCCAGATGAAGCAACACCAGCATGAGAGAGACCTATCCTGCACCTTGTAGGGCAGTGAGACCTTATATTGGCCAAATCACACTAAAAACTACATCCTCACTTCTTCTCTTATGCCATTTTAAAGACTAGCCCAGCACAAAGAATTTCTGTTAAGAAGCCGACTTGATCTTTACAAGCTATTAAAGAATATTGTGGCTTCTGCAAACTCCAGGACAGCAGGACTTTCAATCTACTAAGTGATCTTAAAGGTAAAGAATCAGATTTCTGAGTAGAAAGAAGGTCACACATCAGGCAAGTATTTCAGCATACTCATACAAAAGCTAAGCAACCGTCTTCTGCTTTAAATAGAAGAGATCTTATCTCCTGCACTTCACAAGGCAAGGCAAGAGCAGGAGACTCCTATCAATACTACAGTAAAAACAACAACAGCAAAAACTCCAAAGCCTCTAACTATGTTGAGTATACCAGAGCTCACTTGGATACCTTTCACTAACGATTTTTAAGAGATCTGAGTTTTTTCTTCTGTGGAGCAAAATCTACTGTCAAAATAACAGAAAACCACTGAAAAAAGAATTTCGATTTTCATCCACTCTGTACACTCTGTACATGTACATCTCAGTCATCTCTTATTCTACAAGTCGATTTCCAAAGATCTCAAGTTTTGCAATAACTGAACACTGCCTTGTGGCAAATACATGTACTGTTACCTAAGATAGGCAATATGCTCTTGGAAAATGCCAACACAGCATTGATAATAATGCAGCTTTGCCATAAGCACTCTGGATGTCAGTTGGGTCACACATCCCTTTTGTAAACATGTGCTTATGCCTGTACACCTGGGACACAAGGGAGCCTTCAGGTTAAGAGCCGAGGTGGCAGATATGCTTGTAGCACTGTATCTCAATATTTTTTCCTTTGGTTCTCCCTTTCTCTTTCTCCAGGAGGAAGAGCAGCTTTCGTTTGTGGGACCTTTAGAGTAAAGCGGGCTAAGAGCACCCTTGAGATTTTCTAATGTACAGTTTCCCCTATTCTCCAACAAATTGCCCTACAACCTTTGCAAAATTTCTTAAGTTGCTCTGAACCTTTCCCCTTGCTTGTTCCAATAGGAAGCTCTTTCAGCCTTGGTACAATACATACAAATGTTTGCTATGGTCACTCTACACAGATTGGTGAGTTCTACAAGATATTAACAGAGGAAAGCCAGGTCTTGAACTCTACCAGTGATTCTGCTCTGAGTCTCCTGACCAGGGATGTCTTGGTCATTCCACTAGTCAGTGGGTCATTCTGGAAAACAGCAGTGTAACGTGTTGGGTCCACTTACCTGCACTTACCTGCATTAGCTCTGCATATGATAAGCATACCTTAATGCAAGCAGGTTTACCATTTTATTTCAGTACCTTTACATAAGTGTAATTTCCACAATTTAAGAGACACCAACTGTTAAGAGAAAAAAGTAGCTTTCTCTTTTCTCACTTCCTAGATAACTAAAACATGAGCTGTGGTGCAACAACATTTACTGCAGTGATTTATAACACAGGACTGACTAGCAGCTCATGTATTGCCAGGACGGTGGGTGTTTTCGGTAGAGAGGGCTGCTGCATTTATTGGCACTTGACAGGTATGCACGATCATTCCAATGACTGAGCTCCCATCTAGAATTGATTCAGAGTGGCCAATTAAGCTTCCAGCTCAGCAATAATTTGTTTTCCAACTACCTTCACTGCTCATATCACAAAGATAGCCTGAACTTCAAATCACTGTTTGGCAAAAGCAGAGCTGGCACTTTGTGTGAATTACACTAAATTGACATGTACGTCCATCTGCAAAACAGACCCACCAGCTCCCCTCTTAGCAAATCCATTTCAAAGTGGATACATATTCTCTGCAAAAAAGTAATCACAAAGATATTGTCTCTACCTCCATGCTAGTATTGGGGTCAAGGTCATCACACTCTGATTCCTCTGAGCTGTTTGTCTCCTTGTTTGGCAGCATGAGGAGGAAGAAAGAGAACATGAGATTAGAGGAGAGATTGGTTAGGCAGCACAGAGCAGCACAGGAGTGTGAGCAGCATGGAGATAGGTAACACTACAGAAAACATTCTTAAAAACAAACAGAAACCAATCCAACAGCAAAACAAGAGAAGCGGTGGCAAAGGCATGCTTTAGCCAAGAGGCAGTGACTCTGCAAGCTATTCAGGCAGTAAAAACAGCAAAGGGAGCAAGAGAAGGAAGAATTGTGACCACCATGCTGGAGTAACGGCTTCCTTCGGGCCCAGCACTTCACCGATTTGACTGCAGAGGTGCAGGGTGCCTGTGAAGTGGGTGCAAGGTGCATCCAGGCTGCAGTGGCAGGGCTCCTCCCTTCGCACATGCCATCTCCATTGCACTAGGCTTGTAAGGTGGAAAGCCTCCGCAGAGGGACACGCTTAATCACGGGCTTTCCGGGAGAGGGGTGGGTCCAGAGTACATGCTCAAGTGCCTTCCTCAATCAGGGCTGGGCTTTGGTTGTGTCAAAATCACAAGTGTTTGCTTGCCTCTGGTGTGAGGGATTACCCCAGATTAGTGCTGAGCAGGCCTCACCGTCGGGGTATAGGGACGGTTCCTCTGCACTGCAGAATAGTAGGCAGGCACCCAAAGCAGGATCTTAACCCCACAGCTCTCAACCTTTTCCATACTGGGAAATCGCAGAGAGAGAGAGACAGACACACACACATACACACACACACACACAAAACCCTCTCCTGGCAAGACCTAGTCAGGATCTCTTCCCTGTTTGGTAATATGGAAAGGAAAAGGTCATGGAGACCATTTCCCCAGCCCAAAGCGCTTGGGCACCGCAGGTCTAGGAAACCGTTACCTTAAAACGTGGGTGAAATACTGGCCCGAAGACAACTCATCAGCTTCAACGGGGCCATCGTGCCAGCCCGTGGCTTTCTCACCACTGCAGCTGCTCTGATGGAGCTACAGAGCGAGCTAGGTCAGAGGTCAGTAGAACATGGTCTTCCAAATTTTAAGAATATTTAACCTTATATACGGATTTTTAACGAGGATTACTTACTTGCATGTGGGATGCCAGGAAAAGGAAAACAAAAAACAAAGACTGCATTTTATCTTGCATGCAAAAATCCTGCTAAAATGGATACTACAAAAAAAAAAAAAAAAAAGATAACTGAAGTGGAAAAAAAACAAAAAAACAAAAGCAAAACTGCTGCCCCCTCCCTCTCTTGGGAGAGGATGCTCTAGGGGGTGAACAGGATGGGAAGCAGGAGAGCAGCACACAGCTTTCAGATGGCCTTACTCACTTTAACAGAGACTTTGTTCCCCAGAATATCCTTGGATTTACGTGGCCCATTGGCTTCATTTTTGCCACTGCTCTCCTTTTCCGCCCGCTTTCTCATGCGCAGGGTATGCCATGAACATGACTTCCTGTTGTACCAAAAAACGCAGCAATCAAATGGCAGATCATAGTAGGAAGGAAGGATTTGGAAAGGGGAACCAGCATCCACATTTGCGATTACTGCAATACCCTAGGAGGTGAAAGCCACCAGCAACAAGACTGTCTCCGTTTGAGCAACGACAGTCAAATTAAAAAGAATCAAACCAAACGGTTCTACCAAGCAGATGTTGTGCCACACTTGCCATTTTAATGCATGGAACAGGAAAAATTCCCATGATGGAAGCAGGCAACTAGAACTTGGTCATTCGGCCTCAGGGCCTTTATCTTGCATTTGCCACAAACATATATATATTATATATATACATATATATATATTTTGGCTAAAAAGGTCAATTCAATTGTCAGACTTGTTGATTAAAAGCAGTGAAACAAATATAAGTAAATGAGAAAAGTCTTAATGGAGTATGCAGCAGAGCAAATAAAAAGATTAAAGAAATTCAAGGTGTTGCTCTCTACACGTTGCTCAGAATACAAAAAATTCAAAAATAGGGACTATATCATTAACTTTCCAAGAGATAAGTAATTTCCTAGAACAGCAAGGTCTGCTGTGCCTCTGGAGATCAAGAATTTCCCATTAGCAGAATGATTTTTTTTTGCCAATCTGGTTAATTCAGTCCATGTTTTTTTGAATAGCATCACAGCAGATACGGTTTTCAGCACATTTTTCACTCTTCATTACTGCTCCTATAACCTTACCCTTGGAAAAAAAAAAAGACCAGGTCACCCTTTGTAAGAGAAAAGCTGTGTTGAAAACAGAAATTGCATCTCAAAGCAGACATAAAAATTTAGGAAAAAAGAAAACAGTTTTCAATACTGATTCCATTTTGTTTAAAAAGTGGGTAGGTTGAGGGGGTGGGAAGGGGTATGTTGTCTAAGCAGAAAGCTCTCAAAACAGCAGTGTGATGAGCTGGGATCCAGGTTCAAAGCATCTGCCCACCTTTAAGTCATGCAAATTTGATTTGCATGTTTTAAGCCCAATGTTTGGCACATGTCATGTCTACAGTACCTTGATACATTTTACAAAGCAAGTTGCATGTAATCCAAGGATAACCTGCGATGCCAATAAAACGCAGTATGTTAGCACGCTAGGACTCAAAGGATGCCTCACACAGCCAACGTTTCCCCATGATCCCTGCATCCCATTCCTAAGCATTTTATTTTTTATACTTCTGTACCTGATTGGGACTGTAGAACTGGTCAAGTTAAAAAAAAAAAATTAATAGCCTCCCAGCAGCTGGCCACACTGACACACATTAAACTGGCTTATGCCGAGTGTTCTTGCCACCAGTGTTTCGTCTGCACTGGAGCAACACGGACAAGGTTGCTCCAGTGGTGCTGGGGACAGCTGGCCACGAGCAGTCACGTTCAGGCTAAAGGAGCACCAGAACGTCCTGCATGTCTCAGCAGGTCAGCAGGTCTCTTGTGGTATGTGGTCATTTCTGCAGAAGGCCCACATGAGATATGCAGAGCAGGGAAAGTTATGCAGCACTTCAGAACTATTAAATTTCCTTTTCAGCTATGGTAAGAGTCAAGGATGTGGCTGAGGGACTCCCCTGGACTCTGACCTTCCATCAGTAACATGGTGCCAAAGCTACTGGACTGACCACATGTTTTGTGCACCGTACTTGTCAACAGAAGAAACGCTTTCATTACTTGCACTAAGAAGTCAACCTCATCTGGCAGACTAGACAGGGCTAAAGATAACACCTGCACCAAGGCAGTTTTAACTCGTAGGACCCAAGATTAGAGAGTCCCTTCAAGCATCAGATTGGTTTCTGGCTTGGCTTTAGCTGCTCTAGTCTGAAGACATGAATTAAGTCTCTTCGCTGAAGAAGGAAGAAGAGAAGGGCAATGTGTGTGTCCCTGATTCCGGTGTGCCTTCCTGGCCATGGTCCCTAAGCCTGCATTGCAGAAACCAGTCTTTACTGGGAATGCAGACACACGTTTCCATGTGAAGGCTGGGAAGGAACATGGGAATAGCTGTGGCATGTTTCCAAGGAATGTTAAACAATTCCTTTGGTCTAATATGGAATTCATAGGAGTATTGACCAGATTTCTGACTGACAAGTAAAGTCATCGTTTTTCATAACTGCAACTTCATCGGAGATCAAGTTGTTATTTTTAGTGAATCTGTAACATTTCTTCATTTTCAAATCTATACTTCAGTGCACTCATGTACGATAACTTAATTTGTAGCAAACATCATGCATTACTGCCTCCTAGTCATTTTAGATATCAAAAGAAATCAACAGATATTTCTAAAAAGAGGGTTGTACCTTCTGTATTTAATACCAAAAACACTTTCTCGCATTAGTCATTTCAACCTGACAAATTTCTAAAAATCAGAAAAGAAAAATATATATCCACACATTTGTTAAATAAGCAACAAAATGTTATAAACAAAAAAAAAGAAAAGAAATAAAAGGATCAAACTAGTTCTTTTACCTCATTAAAACATGCTCATGGTGAAAATTTATTTTACATATTTAAAATAGTACATTTAAAATTAGTTACATTACAGGTACAATGATGAACATTGCAACTATCCATTATATTGCACAACCTGACTTCGTCAATATGAGTTTGTTTCCTTTCCTTTTTTTTAAATAGTGCAAAATACTTTATACAGGAATGTACTTGGATGGGGGTCTTGCAAACAAAAAAAAATATTTTACAAAAGTTACTGAAAACAGAAAAAAAACCAAATGAAACAAAATTAAAAAAAAAAGATACAAGCTGTACAAGGAAATTGCCACAGACAACAAATTCTCTACTCCTTGAGAAGTGAACCTCAGTCCAACACAGGCCTGTTTTTTTTTTCTAGATGTTGTTGTTATAACCAATATATAGATTAGTAACTTAATACAACATAAATATAAGTCCAGTCCAAGCAGGTCCATGTTGGTGTAAATTGGTGTAAGGTAAAGCATGCCTTTAACTCTCTATGGTTTTATTTCTTTCCAAAGTATAAACAAAACCCCACGAAAGGAAAATAACCCAAACCCGAGCTATCCAACATGGCTGCCCGATGCTGCCGACTGATCGCTCCGTTTGTTCCAATGGCGCTGTAGATAAAAAAATCAGCAGGATTTCCCTACCATTTGGGTTTGTTTATTATTTCTTTTCCTCAGAAAATCCACATAGTGCTCCCAGGGAAGCCAACATGGCACTTACTTGATGCTTCCGTCGCTACTATCTGCAGTGGATTTAGTGAGGGGAGCCAAGATGCTGCCAGGGATCCAGCCTTCCGCAGCTGGAGAGTGGTCGCTCGCAGGCTGGTACACCAAGAACATGTTCTGCTGGTTGATGGCCAGGATCTGCACCACCTCGCCTTGATTCACACAGATCTCATCCTCCTTCAGTGCATAGTAATCTTTAATCACCACCATGGAAGAGGTCCCGTTGCACCCTCCCAAATCAGGCTGCAAAAACGAAAGGAAACGTGGTGAGCAGGTGGAGTTGAGGAGCCTACCTTTTCAAGCAGCATTCGTGACTTTCCATCTCCAGCTTAATTTCACTATGAATTCTAATTTTAGTTCATATGAGAACTTGTTTCAATAGCAATAGCGTCCTAAAAATGCTTTACGTGCACCAAATAACTATCTGTACCAAGCCAAATGGAGGGGAAGACCAATGAAAGATTACTCTAGAAGGTGAATTAATACTCACGCATTTCATGACACAATACAGGTCATACTTTGGTCAGCTGCAGCCAGCAGTAGAATCCAAATGCCACTGACAGCTCCTGGCTCTTGGGTGGGCTACAGGAATCATGTCTGCTAGACTGCATATGCAGCCAAAATATAACCTACCACTGGCACCCTCTCAGATGTGAAACATGAGAAGGTCTAGGCACCTCTAAACCAGCAGGAGACATCTTCAGAATTGCATGATTAAGGGATACTGGAGAAACCAGAATATTATTGGTGCCAATACTGCAAATGGTGGCTCTGTCCAGCCATAGGTAACTCTAATAGTGGGGCTGGCTCCTATCTTCTGCTGAAGATCTTCGTATTTTTAAGGCCTGCAGACACAGCACCCCTGCAGACACAGTAGCAGTGGACACTCCAATGCAAGGCTCTGGTTTCCCTGAGGACATACTGTCTGTCAGGAGGCCAGAGCCTTTCAGGACATCATTTGATTTCAAATCATAGTACTCTGAGCTGGTTAGCTGGCAATTAAAACTAACATCACTGATCACCTATCAAATGGGCTATGAGACAACTCCTCATGGGGTAAGTCCAGTACCTTGCTTTGCTCGTACTTGTCTCCAGGCTGCGCGTGTTCATACCCTGTGCTGCCGTTGGAGGTAGATATCTTCAGGGGTGGGAGAGATGTGTTACGGCTTGCAGCCTTCAAAGACTTCTCAGACCCTACTGGAACAGAAGAATAGGGTCTGCTGTTGGGCTGAGGGACCCTGCCGGCCTGGGGCCTCAGCACTGCAGAGCTGCTCTCCTTGCGTTGGTACTCGATGGGAGACTGCAACGCTGCAAGAGAGGGAGGGAATTAGCTACGTGCTCCTGATGGCACCACACAGGGACGCAGAGCGCCAGGTCTGTCCCGTCAGAACGGACACTTCGGCTGTCAGACAAGCAGGAAGCACCAGGTGCCACCTCTGGACACACACAGCTGTGTTCTCGGGGTTCACACCGAGACGGGACACAGGCACGTTACGTTGTACTGCGCACGAAGCAGCTGCACACATAACCTCTCCAATCCATGCTGCTGCACACACAGCCTCTCCAATCAGCACAGGGGGATAACGTTTTTGGCATTTATAACATACATAACTGCATTCACGTTCTTTGGAGCTGCACAAATGGAGCATCGTAAAAGTCATCTTGTAATAAAAATAAATGAAAGCCTGACTAGAGGTGTTACACCTCATTTACAGTTAATTTTGCAACCATCAGAAATCACAGATTAAATCACCCATAAATCTCATTTGTGTATTTCCAAGACAGCAAAACTAGCAAATTCTTTCCAAACATGATGTATCAGAACTTGGCTCTCTATGTACTTCCCATGTTGACTACCTTGGTTCAGAGAGAGTGCTGGAAATGACCAGCAAGTGAGGAAGCAGAGATGGCACAAAAAAACATCAATCCCAGCAGCCTATCCAGAAAATACTCTCCTCCAAGTTATCGTCACAGGCTACATCAAATGGCTTCACAAGCCTTAAAAAAAGAGCTGGCTAAGTGAGAGAGAACATTTCTTAGACATGGAGAGAGAGAGCTTACACAGGGTAAGGGAAGGGTAAAAATGCCAAAAAGGGAAGAAAAAGAATTTTCTATGTTTGGAGGGGAAGTGATGAGGGCTGGGAAAGGAACCCATTTGCCAGGGTCAGGCCAGCCCCCGCAGATCTATGGGCTGTTGTTTGCATGCCATGTGGCTTTACTGCATGAGTTATAGCAATTAATACTGTGTACATGCACCAGACTAACTGGAATGCAGAGACCAGTCTAGCAACAGCAGACGGAGGTCACAGCACCAGCCCAACCAAGGAACCACAAGAGAAGGAATGTCTTTCCCAACAGGAGGAAAAGGAAAGACAAACAAGAGGCCCAGCAGCACACAACAGCCTCTCCAGCAGTCCCCTTCCAGGGATAGGGAGGCTGCTCTAACAAGAATACTTAATATCAAGAAACAGAGCCCAAACAACTCACGGAGAATCCCACATCATCATTTTTTTCAAAAGGACCCTATGTTTCCACACAGACCTGTAGCAGCTGGGCTGTCACTTGGTTCAAAAACCAAAGCAACCATCACCACTCCCTCTTGTACCACAGAAATAATTTGTGTTATAACACAGCAACTTCCCGCTTCACTCGCCTGCCTCAGCTGCTGCTGAACATGGGCCGCTCGTGTTGCACCTCACTCATGGAGAAGGAAGTTTGGGGAAATCTTTGACAGCGACCCGTTTTTCTAGTACATCCAGCACATTAAGCTGCAAGGTCTTTAGCACAAAGTCCAAATAAATATTTATCAATCTCAAAACAATCTACCCTATTCAGCACTTTCGAAGGGCATTTAGTTGAGTGTCCACTTGTGGCTATTAGTTCCATAGTTATCTCTAACAGTGGGGCTAGCTTCTGTCTTCTACTGAAGATCTGTTTGTGCTTTTAAGGGCCTCTGGCAAAAAATCCATGTCCGCACAATCTGCCTCTCTTAAATCTACATCCCCAAAACTAAACCCACCCCAGCAGAATATCATAAAAAATGTTACAGACCAAATTCCCTGCTCATATGAAACATATCTGTCGAGAAAGTATTTCCTTTACAGACAGCTTCTTAGAGGCAAAAGAGAGCACAGCTACTCTAGTCAGTCACTTGGTGCAGTCTTTTCTCCAGAGCAGCAGCTTTTGCTTTTTTGCAGCAAGTCAAACACTTAGGAATTGTATATGCAATTGCTGTGTTTTGTATACAGAGTCCTGTTCTTTCAGGCTTCCACGTTGAAGACAAAAATCAGAGACAGCTTGGGCAAGAACTCATGGGGAATATTTTGTTATTAAGTTTACACAGCATTGGCTCAGTGTGGATTTAATATGATTTTAAAGACAGAAAACATCCGCTTTAATGAAATGCAAAGCTAAAGGACATACTTGAAGATTAGTCAGTCTCAACGAGATTACATCCTAAAAGCCACTTAAATTGTTCTAGACTGGACAGGCTCTACTCGATATAATATCATTTTCTTGGATCTTATTTATAGGTTTAAAGTAAATCCTTAAGCCTATGTTTTAATATAAATCTATTTTTACTTCTAGATTTAGAGATACTGAAGATTATATTCCTAACCCATCAAATTCCACGCTGGCCTCACAAAAGGACAGGCTAAATAGAGGCTATGAAGAGGCATCAGGAGGAAAAGGGACTCAGGGTAGTAAGTACTGGGAAGAAAGGAGGACATATATTAAAAATAAACCAATGATGTGGAAGGGACACAAAGTCACTGCAGCAGTGTCTGAGCAACTCTCACTAAATTTAACAAATCTCCTGTAGCTAATCATTATTGGAACTTATTTTTCGGGGGATAAGGCAGCATTCAAAGCACTGACACAAATCAGGTGAGCTGTGATATCCTGACTGGACTGCTGTTGGTGGAGAACTCGGACTGCTCATCTCTTTTGAGAATCCTTTTATGAGCTTTATGAGCACCTTTCACCTTCAAATCATGAAAACCAAGTATCAAATTTGGGGTCCTAAAGGCAGAAAAATTCTCCTTCCCAACTGAGCTGCAGTTTTTGAACGGTCACAAACACAATCTTTTTTTCCTGTAACACTTCCCCATGTAGCTTTTTAAAAGTAAGGCTAAGATAAATTAAAATTTTGAAAAGGCTATGAGAAATCCTATATAGAAGAAAAGACAATTGTTGTGAGTCATGTGAACTGTAAAAGGCTCTTCAGATTTTGCAGCCAAAAACCTCACAAAACAAAAATACGAACACCCAAATACAAAAGCTAACATGTTGTACAAACACATTTCAATATAGATGATGTATTAAATTTTTAAATAAAGAAGTCTTTCTAATATAAGCTCAAAGTCTTTTAAAAGGAAGCTATTTTGAAATGAATAGCACAGAACAATTTTGGAAGTTTCCAAAGAAATCATTCCTATTTCATTACTTCCAAACAAGTTAAAAAAATATATATTTTTTTCCTTTAGTCCCCATTCTTCCTCTTTCCTTCACTTGGTAAGTTAGAACAGGTTAAAATTAAGTGAATATGAGCTACCTGCATTTTCAAAATCAAAACTTGTAACAATCGTTTTTAAAAAAACAAACACAGGTTTAATGTTATTCCTATACCAAAGTTAAAAATTTGAAAATGAACCTATTCATTCACAACTCTTAGGTTTACTGGGAAAACCATCCCGGACATTTCCTTGTCCTCTCCCTATTTTTTTGTCCAAAGCAGCAGCTGCCCAGAGGAGTTTGGACCTGAAGGGAGGTGGATGGCTGGGCAGCCTTCATCCCACCTCATGTCCTCAGCCCTAGCACACTGTGACATTAAATAGGAGGTTTCTGGGGAAAGGCTTGTTCTTGTTCTGACCAAGCAGCAGATGTTGTATAGATCCAATGGTAACTGGCTTCGATGCAGTCTCGTAAAGGGATTAAATTTAAAATTGTCCTGTAGAACGGAAAGCACCAGGTGGGATCGCCTGCAAAGCCCAGTATTTTTAAAGGATCTTGCACCAAAAGACTACCACAACACGCTGCTGAAGGGAGGGATCAGAGGCCTGAACATGAATCTGGCTGATATACAAGGCCAAACACAGCGACTTGCATTTAAGTAGAGAGCTGCAAAAAACAGTCCACAAGATACTGCCAGCAGAGCCTGGCCAGGGCGTCGCATGGTCTCTGACATGAGACAGGGCTCCACCAGCTCCAGGGCAGCATTCCTGGCCTCTCTCCCATCCTGTTTTGCTTTCCAGACCCAGCATGCAGGCCCCCTTGCACAGTGGCAGTGAGATGGCCTTTTTTAAAAGCCCAAATGTAACTTATAAATACTCTTTCACATGTACTTTGTGGATACCACTGAGCCCAGTGCTTAAAGACAGGGAGGTTAAGCTCAAGCTTTCTCTTAGGGATTTTCCTTAGGAAAAAGAAGTTGCTGCATGATTTTTTTCCCAGAAAGGGACCAAAGATGCAAAAACTCTAAACATTTGTTGGTGTCACAGTTTGGGACTCAATGCAATGACTGTGTACATACCATTTAAGAAATCTCTTTGTGTGTCCAGGACCTGGTTGATGTCCTGTACCCAAGCTTGCTGAATTTCTGGATTAGCAGCCTGTAAAATGAATCTCTCTGATGTTTCCCGGTTCATTAAAGCAAACTTGCAGGGATCATTGTCCACATTTTCTTCAATGATTAAGTAATTCATCTGCAACAAATCAAATTAAGCATGTGTTACTCAGCATTACTCAAGACCCAAAATAAAATTGCTGTGCAAAGTTCCTGAAAACAACTAATTGAATTTCCTACCAGACTGTCAGATTGCAATCAGAAGAACTTGCCTCATCTAGATTTAGGCTGATAAATTTTAAGCCTAAATATGATGCTTAATAAAGCTGTGACAGATGTACCAGACATCCATCTGCCTTGTCTTGAATTACAACTTCTATTTTAAGGTAACATAAGCCTCCACAGGAAAGAAATTCCCAGTCATTAGAACACTTTTAAAATGGAGTGGACAGCATACAAAGATACACACACACACACAAAGGCAATTCCTCACTGATGCTCTAACAGATTTTTTTAAATTATTATTTCTAGCAGATTATACTGTCACCTGTGTACAACCACTTCACTTCACTGTGGTCACAGTACTCTTCCTGGAAATCTCATGCACAGAGATTTCAGGTACTGTCTGTAGGTCCTTGTTAGGCTTCTCTTTTACAGTACTCATTACTGACTTCTCTTGAGTTATTCACATTTACGATAGCAAAAGAGATGAGCTGAACAAACACCTGCCATCCAAACTTCTAAATTTCATCATCTTCCACTTCTCTGCTTTAAGCAGGCAATTTAGTTCGCCTGGCAAGGAGGAGCTGTCTTCCAGGTTAGCCATTGAAATCCCCATCTCTGAGACCTCAGAGAGAGTTAGCAGTTTGCAGGCAAAACTAGAAGAATGGTGCTGGGAGTGGGGCACAGGGAGAGGGCTCTCCATGGCCCAGGTAGACAGGTCCAAAGATTAAGGGGTTTTGAAAGCCTAATAGGTGTCCAGCTGAGATACATCCAAGAAGGAACATGCTATTTCTGCGTGCTAACCATCTCCGTACAAAGTGTTCTTTGTTAGTGTAGGACATTATGATAAAGCTTCTGTCAGTCCTCGGAGAAAAAATATTTGTAAACCTTATCTCCTTGACAGACCAGAATGGCTACATTTGAACTTCACTCATATGAACCTCTGCCTCTAACAAAGATGCCTCAGTCCTCAGCCATGTCTGTTTGCATGGAAGAAACAAATGGGACCAAAGGTGCTGGGCAGGTCCTTCTATAATGTGGGAGGATATGACCAGCAGGGAAACATCCCTCATATCTCAGGGAGTGTCTCCAAGAGAACTAGACAGCCATGGCTGCCTATGATGTCAAAGAGCTGCTGCAAGACAGCTAGATAGGTCCTGATTACTGCTGCAACAGACCTCTCAGCTTGCCCAGCAAGACCTTGCCAGGACTCAAACTAAGGTCAAAGAAATTTGGTCCTGGCTGACAAGCAAAGTTGCCTCAACCTCTTGTTCCTGAACTCAGACCAGATGCAATCTCGCAGTAGCTTCAGGCTGGGACAGGAAAGGCCAGGTGACAGGGCAGTCTGCTTGCGGGGCATCTCTGCAAGCCTGTCCCTCGCTAGGGAATCACCCAGCGGAGGAGGCGGCTACGCGGCAAGGCGACGATTCCCGCGATGGCTCAGAGGGCAGCAGGTGAGAGGTCACAGGGTGAAAATCCTGCTGCACCGTGAGGCAGACTGCACCTCTGTGGGAGGGCTTCACAAAACTGCAAAGCGAGTCAGAAGCTCAAGAGCTGGGGTGGGAGGAAGGGTCAAACGTGTTGGTGCAGACACTCTGAACACCAGTGGGGGAGACGCACATGGACCCACGGGCGATCCCACACTTGCTCTCCAAAGGAGAACAAGCAGTTTGCCCGATGGAAGAAAAGAGGGACTGCAAAATTATCACCCTCAAAAAATGGTAAAGTAATTCAGGCAGTGGGAAAGGCATTGCTTTCATATGCTGTTTAACTAAGCAAAGCAACTCGTACCCTTGAGGCAAGCTAATTTTATTGAGATTAGAAGAGATTTATTTTTCTCTCTTTGTCTACAATATACAATTCAGAAATTGTTTCCTACAGATAAAAGACTCATTGTTATACATACAATAAACTGAAGTAAAAATGACTCAAGCTATTTTCATCTCCTAATTTAATCATTATTTAAATTAGCAATAAGATAAAATAAAAGCTGATCATCTAAACTGAGGCAATTTTTGCTCTAAGTTTTTTCCTTGCAGCTTATTATTTGGTTAAACATACTGACTTGCAACTGAATATAAGCTTTGCAGTAAATGCTGGAGTTTCTGCTAGCCAAGATAGCTTTACTTCAGTTAACATACTTATCGTGGTTTTTTTCACCTCTATATGGTACAGGTGGATTATATCACTTGATATTGTTCTCCTCTACTTTGCACTACTGTATCATTTAAAATACAGGGCAAACACAACTCTTACTCCTCTTTCTAACCTGTATCTTGGGATTTCTAAGCAGTATCCATTTCATTCAGAGCTACAAGTGAGAGAGGCCCTGTCCTGGCTGTGCTTCCTGTAAAGATCACCCAGCAAATTTAGTTATACAGTGGTTTACTTAGAGATACTGGTCTTAAATGGCTCCTGATCCACTGAAATGTAAGTGCAAATGCTCTTGGCAGATTATTGCCCACCTATAATAAGAATGACCAAACCGATACGATTGCCCTACCTGACCATCAAACCAGACCTGCCTCTCTCATTCTATTGCTTACCTTTATGTTTTTCTTAAACATGTATCCTGGTGTTAAAGAGCCTTTCCTAAGCAGTTCGCTGAAGATAACTATTTGCTCGAAGAGAAAAACCCTACGCTCCTTGGGCCGAGACTGAACTCCAGAATCCTGCTCCGTGACGTAGAAGGTATCTTGCTGCAGCAGCTTTCCTTGAGCTGTCAGCTTGCCCTGAGGAGGAGACAAAAAATCAGCATTATAACACCTGACCCAGAATGTCCCCATGAGACATTCTGCTAAGTTCCACTCATTTCAAGTTTTCCAGACTGCACTGAGTTCACATGTAACATATTCTCTCACCTTTAACAAAGCAGAAATCTTTTAACTTAAGGGTACAGTTTAAGGAAAGTAGCACAGGTTTTCTTTATTCTTATAGCCACCAGATATGCTTACAAAACCATAATCAAGAGGTCTCAAGTAGACTGTTTTTATACTTAATTTCAAATCTTGTTCCTATTATGTAATTTGTGTTTGTCTAGTGACTTAACCTCTCTCTAATCATGTGTCCTCAATACCTCTCCACAACAGTAGTCAATGATACAAAACAGAATGTGCTTGTTTGCAGCAACACTGTGATGCTAAAGGTGATAAGACACACTTGACTTCCATTTGGAGATACCAGGACTGCTAAAGACTATACTGGCTTGGTCACAAACCACAAGTTATAACTGGCACGGTTACTCAGAAGGCCCTTCCTGGAGGTGGCCAAGCTCAGGGCGAGCTCTTTGCTCGTTAATGCTAGGTGATCTGTCTAACAGGCAGAGCAGTCTGGGTTCGAGGTTTATTTTGCTCTGGCAGGAGACATAAGTCGTCTAATTCAAGCTTGTAGAAGCTTTTACTGGCCTCACATTTTGAAGAAACAATACATGGACTGTTGCAACTTTACAATGACTGGTATATTCTTCCCCCACCTTAAATACCACACCAAAACATGCACTTCACCACCGGAGAAGAACAAAGCACTAGATAAACTGCCTGGAGTAGGGCAGATTATAGAAATGATCATACAAAGATGAAACACCTTTCCAAGGCTGCAGATTTTATCAGAAGCAAAACACAAATGCATACCTCAAAGCCTTGGAGGCGGCCCAGGTTCATCATGTCATTGCAGCGTTTTGGTACAAGGCACATTAATTCAACTGCTTTCTGTTAAGCAAGAAGAATGTTGGATTGTTACAGGAAAATCAGAGTGATTCTAAAAATGAAGTATCAAATGATAAATTTCAACAGCTTGATCACTGCTAGAAGTTATTCATGGTGTGGTCCTCATGCACTGAAGGTTTATAATTACATGTGAAAGAAGACTGTTGACTGGATCTTAGTTCTTTTACTTCTGTCTTAAGCTAAAGAGAAATAGGAAATTTAGAATATGAGCAGGATCTTAAATTATTGCCAGTCAACACGAGGATCTAATTTCACCACATAAAACTCCATTAGATTATGTAGCAGTGTTGTCCAGACATGAAAACATACCTCTATATCGGAGCACTCCAGACCAGCTTTTTCACTGTACCTCAGGAAATCCTATAGAAAACATGAAAATTTATAGAAAGACAAGAAGCCAGTTTTAAAATGAAAAGGCATATTTAGCAGGTTTTTATGGGAAAGAACTTGATAATATTAATAAATTCATCTTCAGAGGTTGCTTAATGTCATAAGCCTTTTATAAATACAGAAAAGGGAGGTGGATGGTTGCTGAAAAGAGCACAGAAAAATACAAAGCTGGGCTTAGCCCTTGGGAATGCTGAGTTGGTCCCTCAAGCCACAAGACCACACACACACATGAAGAGATTTTTCTGTTCCTTTGGCACTTGAGGCAGCATGCCACTGTCTCCTTGCAAGAGCACAATTACCAAACTGTGGACTCATGGCAGCCTGCTTGAGACTACTTTGAAAAGAGGAAGAAACCAGCTTAGTCCCCAGTGCTGCTGGAGATTATAGGTTATGTTTCAGACACGCCTGATTTTAGATATCGGCTTGAGCTCCCCATGGCTGAAATCTCAGAAATGAAGAGCATTTGCCATTGTGAATAGAGTCAGCAGAAGACAGAGTGGTCAGAATACTTGGAAGAAAAACTACCATGGACTCTCCAAATTTTCAGACATCAAAATAATCTGGATGTAAGTTTCTCATGCTAATTTGGAAAACATGAAAGATATTCAGAAACTGAGGCTATAGTGTTTATTAGAAGCATATGTCTCCATTCAGCAACGAAGAATGGCTTTATTAATATTCTATGTGTCTTTACTGCAGTTGTTAAAAATTGAGCAAAAGCTTGCTCTGGAATTTCAACGGAGAAAAAAATCTATTTGAAGTTTACTTTTCTGTAAAGATATCCGATAGAAAATCAAGCAAAAAAATCTTTTGAATATCATCAATTACAAAATGCTTGCGCAGATATGTCCCTTCTGCTCTCTGGACATCTTTTGTTGTAGATGAATGTAGGAACTGACTCCTCTTTCCTCTCAATTTGATGACATCATTCTTCAATTAAAACCAAGACTGATTTACAGTAACAGTATGTAATGCAAGATGCAGATCATAGTTTAGCCCAAACTGTACCTTTCCACTCACCTTGAGAAGAAGCTGATACTTAGTTATTCTTTGAATAGGTTTGATCAGAAAGTCACTAATGGTTAGTCGTTGGTTTATTTCCTGTTGAACCTCCTAAAAACATGGAAGATTAAAAGCAGTTTTAAATAACTTCAGAGTAAGACAGAAAACATGATACAGTATCTCAGCAGATGCTTATTTCTACAGAAAGTTAGTCTACTCTTAATCTTCTCTGCAAGAAGGAATTTTAGAGGATTTAAAAATCTGGCATATCCTATTTAGGCAAAGACTGGATAAAAGTCATGAACGAGCTGGAAGATGTTTTAAAGCACCGGATTCTTTCCCACTTTGAGCTGACTGAGCAGGGCTGCAAGATCTGGAGACTGCTCTTCCCACTACAGTGGGGATTTGCTCACAAACAAGTCCTGCAGAGCATTCCTCATCCCCTTGGGTGAAATGAAACATCCTTTCCTCGTTAAACAAACTTCTTTCACTGTTATATCTAAATGTGCTTAGTCCCAAAGATTTCTTAAAATGGAGAATTTACGGGAGGCGCCATCCAGCTCCACCAACTTTTCCCTCCTCCCCTGTTTAGAGACTAAAAATTAAAAAGCCTATTTTATTTTGGACACAAATCAATGCAGTTGCGTCACTATAAGGGCCAGGAATATTCAGTTCTAATTAGACCCAAATAGAAATTAACAACATGAGAATTCAAGAGAAATGCAAGAACTCTGACCCTGACCCTGCGTGTGCAGGGGGTTGGAATAGATGATCTCTAGAGGTCCCTTCCAACCTTAAGCATTCTAAGCATTCTGCGAACCCTTTTTTTCCCCCATATGTTAGTCTTTAGCAGCACGCGCAGCATCAAAATCTTCTAGAGTTTATTTTAGACAAGCAGCATAGGTCAGGTTACAGCACAAGCTACTTGATTAGGACTCACAGCTGTAAGCAGAAATACTGTATAATATATATTTGCTTACCTCAAAATATGCCTCATACTCAGCTACTATATATTCAGACCGTGGCTTGTTCTGGCAATACACCACATACATGTGTAACCGCCGCTCCTGGGGAAGCAAGATGCACAGCAGCCTGGTGACATATTTGCTACCATTCTGTTCTGCTACTAAAAGCTGGCAGAAAAATGCTAAAATTTTCTGTCTCATCTTCTTCATATTTGGTTTAATCAGAGATTTGGTATGCTGAAGCAGAAAAATAAATTGATCACTGGTTCTAGTCTCCAGTCTTCCGCCTTATTTTCATAAGGGGAGGATCCCACAGGGACAGGCAGTTAATCAAAAGATGTCCTTCCCACACTGCTAAGTCTGGAGTTTGCTATAGGGTCATACTCTGGCTAACATCACAAGACCACGTCAGTCACAGCAGTTGGCAATCATTATATTACTGCAGATGTCCACGGCCGCAAGCGATTTTTTCCCCGAAATAAGAAATCTGCATGAAGACAGTGATGTTTTAGGGAAATGCAGCTGCTTATTGAAGATGCTTAACTCTATGGCTACTCTGTGTTTAAATTAAATTGTAGAAGTAGCAAGTTAACACAAGCAGGTATTTCCAGGAAGGAGCCATCATAGCCTAAAAGGCAATGACAGTAGAGACCGGTAACTGTAGAACTTACATGCTTAATAAAAAGCTGTGCTAAACGGTCAGGTTCTTGAAGACATTTTTCCAGTTCTGCCAGGAAAAAGCTGAAAGAAAGAATATTGACATTTCAGAAAACTTCCTTAGATCATTCCAGCAGCAAGCTAGTCATCCCTCCATAATATATGGATGCAATTTTAGTGTTAGAATTCAATAATAAATGAAATGGCAAGCTTAGCTTCAGCCCTTAATTGCAGCATTTCTAAAACAAAAGATGAGAGCTGCAAGCTTTTTGACATTACCCCACAGTGGTTTTAATTTTTAAAAAGTGCCAATTATTATCTACTTGCAAGAGTTGAATTCCCTCACTGAAAACTAAAGCAAAGCTTCTCCATACACCAAAACACTTGCAAAAATTCAGCTGAAACTTTACCAGGAGTTTTAAATTGCTTGAGCAGATTTGAAGGACTGATCAACATGAAAAAGCCACAAGGTTTTACTCAAAGAAGCAATCCAGAACTTTTTGCAGGCACACTTTTGGCACACTCTGCTGTCTTCTTTTGTTTGTTTTTTTTTTTACTATTTCCTCTCTGTTATTTACACATATAAACACAGTCTTTAGCTTGACCTGCAGCTTCATGAGTTCTAGCTTGAATGCTCTTTCCATGAATATGAAAAGATGCTTGAAATTGAAGTAGGAGCATCTAAACTAAAATTTAGAAATGCTGGAATGTTTTTCTAACTGTTAAATCCTGACAATTTCCTTTTCCATCACATTCTCTGTATAGAATTCCCATCTCAAATGTATGCATGGATTTGCTACAGTAGTCAGATCTGGAGAGTGAACAGGCCAGGAATGGTGTGGTCCCAAGAAAACCCCGGGAAGATGTGTGCTGGGTAACTGTCTCAACTAAATAGTCCTATCACTACAATCAGCTACAGTTACTTCCATAACTCAGTCCTGTAGAAATATTAAACACACCTACATTTTAAGTCACTTCTCGACCCAGATATGCAGAACTAACTAAATATAGTGAATCCCTCCCTGCAGATTAGAGAAGCTCCTCTTATCACACTTAAACAATAGCACCAGTAAAAACACTCACTGCTGGCGCAAACTTAATACATGGTGAGAATTTTTCTGTAGTTTTTGCTTTGTGCTCCCAGGAGCTGCTGTCAGAACACACGTGCAGGCCTAGGCTCACCAGATAAGCACTGGTGGGACACTTGATGTGAAGGACACTATTTCCTTGGCAAGGGACATGTACAGAACAGAAGGAATATCCAGCCCACTGTCATTTTGCAGGTTTGCACGTTTTCAAGTTCTAGGCAGCCCGAATTGTAGAGTATTCCTGAATGGCAGAGTTGAAATGATGGCCAGATGCTTCACAAGCAAGACAGTGCTGTTCATACGGTCACAGTGAAAATGACCCTGGGCTTGAAATAAGCCTCCTCTTATTTCCAGCAGCTTTTCAAAAGCTACTTGTATTGAGACTGACCAAACACTACTGGTGTTGCCAGCCTCCTTAACTTATCAGCTGCATGTCAAGACATTCATGTCACAGAAAGCCTCAAGATGTATGCCAAAAATCTCGGTGGGCCAAGGAGGAGAGGGTGACACAGAAGTAGTTTATACACTGGAGGAAAACCATGACCATCCAAAACTGCTACTGCTCAGTAGTGGGATGGACTGAGCCTACAGTTGTGATAAGAGCAACATAGTCACGACAGTTTCAGCTGCTTTTCTGGGGATCTGGAAATTGCTCCCCAAACAGCTGGGGGCTGTCTGGTCCACTTACAAAGAAGTAACTCTGGAGCCATGGCTTGACCATACTCACATGTCTCCTATGGAGCATCTTGTGGCTCCCCAGAAAAGAAATGGAAGAGCCACTGGCACCTCAGTGCTGACACACATCAGATTCTTGACTATACAACCATATTTCTGCTGCAGCTCCTCTACCATAGAGCTTGAGTGAATATAAAGCTATGTTACAGACAGCAGCACTACAGATACTCTCACATGAAGGCAGGGAGCTAGTCCACCAAAACCTTTTGGTAACAAGGAGTTTATGTAGGAACGATTCTTTGCATCAAGCAGCCGTGCCATTTTTGATAGGGTAAATAGAGCCGCAAGGCAGGATATAATGTACTGTGAAACTGCAGCTAAAAGCATAAGAGCTAGAATCTTCTCAGGATTCAAGGTAGCCATAATTTTTGAGGCTATTAAGTAGCACTTAAAAACCAAGACAGATTGTTCTATGTGAAGCAATATTCTTTCGAAGTTCAGCCTTAATGACCTGCTGATGTTCAATTCAAAGCAACTTAAATGTCTGTATATACCAATCCTTTATGTATGTGTGGTCAGAATGACTCTTAAAAAGAGAAAAAAATCAAAAACTCACTCTTTATGCCAGTCATAGATCTGGTGTATATTGCCAAATACTATCTTGTCTTTCCCTTTCATATCCTCAGAAACTCCTTTTTCTTCTATCCTCTTCATGAAGCCCTGTAGGATAAATGATCAGTGATTAGTAAAATGACCACTTGAAAGGGCAGAATAATTAATTTTTTGAAAAGGTAAGAGTTTAATGTCAGGATTTTCTGCTTTGAAAATGCTTAGAATTTAAAATCAGAAACCCATCGAGACATCTAAATTACATGGTTTGCTTAAAAGAACATTCTAAAGGATTTATTTTGATTATCTACAATAGTTACACAAACCTTTATTAGACGTCATTGAAGTGACAAGCACGATTAGAAGATAAAAGTAGTTTATCAAGCTCTGGCTTCTCTGGTAAGTCAAAAAAGCCAGACTGTACAGATCAAGTTCTTCCATTCGACAAGAAGCACAAAGGCATACTTTGAGTTTAAAGAGTCAAATAAATAGGATTTCTCACATCTCCAGAGAGTTTCATTATGAGTTTTTGGAGCACTGCAGCCCTGTCAGCTTAGTCAGTGGAGCATGATGTAAACAGAAGATAACACCAAGGTTTTCAAGTTTGGAAGCTCTTGAAAATCACTATCAAATGGGCAGATAATTCTCCCTGGACTAGTGAATGCCATAAGCCTTCCCAAAAGTCAGCTTCATTCTTGCACCCCCAGTTCTGAGGCCTTGATGAGAAACAAACGGGAACCCTGCGTGTGTGTGATGTCTCTGACAGGTGATCCCTAGGGATCATGCAGGTCATTACAAGCTGCAGCTTCCCAAACTAAGACTCTTTTTGAAAAAAGTGGAGAAAAAAAAATCCCATAACCTCTCTTATTTGTCTCAAGCATTTTTTTTTGAAAGCATTAAACCAGGGGCCATACATGCACCTCCGCACAGATTTCAATGCACGATTTCAGTTTGTGTGCAAATTCAAATATAAGTGCATGCTACCATTACTCAGTATTGGTTTGGAGCAGGACTGCAGCATGACAGCAAGAAAGAAAGAAAGAAAAAAAACCTTAAGGAGCATAAATTATTTTCCAGCCCTCATGTCTGCGCTACAGCAGAAAGTTTGTTACAAGCAGCGTAGCCAAGAAAAATCTTTGCACACTTGACTTGCAATCTAAAACACAACATTAGTTAGATAAAAACAGAAACACTTCCCAAAGGAAGGCATTTCTTTTTGTTGTTGTCAACATAAGGAGACCATGGAAGCAGTGTGCAAAATAAAGCAGTTTCTTTCTCATGTTGCAGTTTCTTTTTTTTGTGTTGTCACTTTTCTGCGTGTTGTTTTTAGTGGGAAAACTCCTCCTTTAGCTGGGTTTGTTTCAGCTTACCTCCACAACAGTTCCCAAGTCTTTGACGTAGTCTTTTTCAGTCTGTACCAGCTCGTTTAAGACAAACCTAGGAAAAACAGAATACACGGAGATTTTGAGCATACTGATATTCCTATTTGCTCCTCTTGCCACATCACTAGCCATCAACTATCATCAAAAAAACCTGCTGCTGTTCCAGGTCACGTAACGCTACTCATCCTTTGCTGACTTCCAGCCCAGTGGAATGAAAATGACAAAAACATATTGTTTCAGTTCAGAGTCCTCTGGATTCCCTTAACTGGCTTCTCTTCTTCTTCCCCTCTTTCCTCAGACCCTGTGACAGGATGGGGCTAGAGCAGCAACCCCATCACTCTTGCACTGTCCTTCCTTGTCCTCCTCTCCCCAGGTGCAACCCCACTGGCAGCTACAGAGATGTTTTCCTGACTCGTTATACAGCAAATAAGAGAATTTTTCTCTTTTGTTCCCCCTCTCAGACTGTGTTTCTTACCCTAGACTCCCTGGCTTTGATCCGGGGGTTCAGTTTTAATTTGGAAGTGCCAGGCACCAGGAAGGCAACCCTCTCCTCCTCTTTTCACCTGAGGCCATAATCTTTCAGACTAGGTGATCTGCAGGTGGGATGCAAACACTTTATGCTTGTTCCACGTCTGCTAATCCCGGGTATGAGAGTCACTGCATGAACACAAACAGCAACGAGCTAAAAAAAAGCCCCTCCTCCTTTGCAAGTCCATCTGGCTAATCACATAATGTTCTTCTGAGGACAACTGCAAAAAGTTACAGCTTGTGGCAGACAGATTTCCTCTGCATTACGCCAGCAGATGGATTTGGCGCAGGAAAACTAAACTCCGTCTGCGCGTGAGCTCGCCGAGGCCGTCACAAGGCCAGCGAGGGAGAGGGCTGCTTGGGCGCCTCGCAGCGCTCTGCCCACAGCGGCCGCCAAACTGACTGCTTGAAGCCGTGGACCTGAGGGCAAACAGTGCTGAGGTAAAGCCTGGGTAACAGCTTCTCCCTGCAGGTGAGCAGAAAACCCAGGGCGGCTCTTGGGGTGACAGAGCACAGTCACCACGCAGGGCAGGGCCCAGGCTGGGCTGCGACGCAGCCTCCCAACGGGCCCCTGGCTGCGGCAGGGCGGCGGAGACGCTTCGTGAGGCGGCGGCAAGGGGTCAAACGGCTTCTTGTTCGTTTAGGAGCGAAGCCCGGCCCCCTTGGCAGCGGGCATGGCCGCCAGCAGCAGTGCCAGACACTCGTGCTCCTGCCAGGCTGCACGCCTGCGTGGTAACCACGTGGCGGGCAAGAGGCTCCTCTTCTGCCTAGCGGCAGCGGGTCCCAGACAAGCGCGTGTGGGACGGCCCCGTCCTGCTGGCTGCTCGGCCTCCCTCACGACAGGCTGCCACATCTCCCGGCGGCCACGTTGCTCCCTGCTAAAACGCGGGGCTGTTGGGAGGACGCGGAGGCCCTGTCCCATCTGCCCCCTCTCCTGCCTGCTCTGCTCGGTCTAGTTAGTGGATCAGTTAGTTGCTTAACGCTGCAGGACACGCAAGCGGCTGGATGCAAAATCAGAATCAGTGCACAAATTGGGGTATCTGTCAGCAGAAGTGCTGCAGAGAAATGAATTAAAATGATAAATCTAGGCCTTTTTCTCAGGAGCCAGGACCTGCAGTTCCACCAGTTAAAAAAATTTAAGCGTGGCACGAGCATTCCCCCAGCTACCCTCTTCCTGGAAAGCAGAAAGATCCGTCTTCTCCCTCCCCTGAAGCCTATTTGATACAGCAGCCTAAAGGCTCTCCCCAGGCCTAAGTTTCCAAGAGGCTGCCAAACGTGCAGGTCTACTCACCTCTACTTATCTGACAACAGAGTAAAGGCAGGCAGGAGGTAGCTTAGAAAGTGCCTGCACTAGTCACCACAGGGGACTCACTACCTAGTTGCATTTAAAACAGCATCATGGAAAGAACCTTCTCCTTTCTGAAAACATTTGCATTGGGATAACTTGGATAAATCAGGATAAATCCAGGCTGAAAAACGTTAGTCGATTAGAGTATCCTCGTACTGCTCGCAGAAATGCAGCAATTTCGGCTGATGGAGTCGAGGTTTCCTAACCCGGCGGCTCAGTGCTGCCATGTGCATGTTGCCAGACACACAGGAAATTACTGCCCAGGCCTGTGCAAGGCTCCAACTGCTGTTTTGTGGGAAATGGGGGTCACAGCTCGAGTTTGGAGCACAGCTGCCTAATATGGTTATGGAATTAAACAGAGCGAGTCGCATAGATACAGAACGCAGACACGGAGGAGCTGGAGAGGAGACAGATGTCTTGTGCTGAGAGCCACTAGCAGGTGCTCCTAAACATCCTGGCGCTTAGGAAATGGGACGCAGGCAGTCACTAATTACGTGTAACACGGGGGCTGCCAGTGCCCCTGCCAGAAGCGGTGCAAGCTGCGGAGTGTTACTGCATTTAGCTGTGCTTGCAAGGGCAGAGGTTTCTGCACTTGCATTGCAACCTGCAGCTGCTTGACAGTTATCTAATCAGTAAATTACTACCAGAGAAACTCAAGAACCTGTCATGCGGAGGAGCTTTTCAGGGACAAACATGAGCAGGGCTGCTCTCTTGGAAAGGAGCATGTCTGTCCAACAGGACAACTTCTCCCATTCAGAAACACAAGTGTCATGGCCTTGCCATGGCTGTGAGCATGTCCAGTCCCCCACTTTATTGCTTTTCTGGCTTCCTACAGCAAACCACAGGAGCACATGATGCTTTCACAGTCCTGTGACACTTGGCTCCTGCTTCCTCCTCTACTCTTTAATTATTTCCTTTTCCTCCACTCACTTAGTTTCCTTCCCCTGCCTGGCAATTTTCCCAAATGGGCTGCTCTTCTTCCATCCCTCACCTTAGCACACTCCACCAAGGCCTGTGCACTGTTTTTTTCCTCACCAATGCACTACTTAGTTACATGATATAATACTATCACTGTAAGAGGCTTTATAAAGAAAACAGCTACCCGATCCTTTTTTTAATAATTCTGTGTCCTTCAAGCTGACCATGAATTTGAAATATGTCTAATGTCAGTAATATTTCAAGGCAGGAGTGTTATTTTTGTTACATTTACAGGATGGTATAGATTTTTTTTTTTAAAAAAAGGCTTTCCTGAGCTCCTCCCCCATTGCCATGGACATGAAGATTTCTCAAATAAAACTTATTCTAGAGGTGCATTTACCCTAAAAATACATCTGAACTCTGTCGCCAATTTTGTAAATAACCAAAGCAAAACATTTTCAGCTCATTCATTCAATTCTAATGGGATTCTATGCTCTGTTCCTTGAGAGCAGGTAACCACATCAGCAATATATCCCCCCTTAAGAGTAGATTTCATCTCTGGTTGCTCAGCAATGAGCAGGGGAACACCTCAGTGTGTAACTGTTGTGTATAATCACAATAAGTTTGTACAGAAACACATATTCTGTCATCTGGGATAAAAACTGCAGGTTTTAAAGAGTGAAGATGAATGTCTCAGGTACAAAAATACCTTCCTAAAATATTGTTAGGGGATAAAAAAACAGCAAGCAAAATGCAAAGCTTTACTATCAGTTCTGAGCTCACACACAGACTACAAAATAAGCTACAGGCTCCTTGGGTGCATTTTCAGAAATAATAATGAATAAGAAAACTTACATCCTGCCTCTCATTGCTTTGGCTTTTTGCTCCTCTTCAAGGTTTCTTGGGGGAGTTGAAGATGTCATTCCTTCATTTAAGCAGCCAGTGGCATCTTTTAAGCTTCCTCGGTAAGATCCTCCTTCAAGGGTCTAAAAAAGAGTGATAGAAGAATAAGCCTTATCCTTGAACTCCAGCCTGAGAGTTACCTCCTGTTTCCAGTCAGCTCTGTACTCAACAGCAATCTAAAATCAAGCAGAGTATTCAGCAGTACTTTCCCACAGGACTCAATGAAACACAATACAAAAACCAAACCAGTTTTATATTGATATAAGAACAACAACAAAAAAGTTGTTAAAAAGGAGAACATGATTTTGTCTGAGAATGGAAAAAGATGTTCCTGTAGCCCCAGGATGAGAAAGCTCTTCCAAATCATTTCAAATCAATGTGAAAATATCATAATGTCACACTCAAAAACAGTGTCAGGCTACAGGAGTGTGTAGCCTGATTCTCTGTTAAAAATTAAACCTGGATTCTTGGTAGTAAAATAAAATAGAAAAGGAAACAGAAAGAGAAGGATTCATAGCAATATTCCAGAATAATTAATGTTGTCCCCAAATTCCTGGAAAGTAATTGCAGTTGACTTAACAGTATGCATGCAGGACAGAGAAAATAAATACTTTCCAAAAACACATTTAACTATGGTAATGAAATACTTCTCATTTTTTTAGTCCCTCAATGGAATAAAACTATTTTGAGTAAAATTTCTGGGAATGTCCTTCTCAGTTTCTCATGCTACAAATTGCCCCTGCAGCACTTACTCCTAATCAGCCACTCTCTGAATAGAGACCATCTTCATTGTCTAACTTATCAAAGTGAGAAAATACCAAAACCCTTTGAAATCATTCACAAGATAATGCTGCTTGTACAGACTCACAATCATTCCCACAGTAAAAACACTTCTTCATTCACAAGATAATGCTGCTTGTACACAATAATTCCCACAGTAAAAACACTCCTTTTTCCCTCTGCTTCATTTTTACTCTCTTCACCCTTACATTACTTTTAAGGAAATGAACCTTTGCAGGCTCATCATAAATCTGCTTTAATCCTGACTTGTTCACCAAGTAAAACTTGCTTAAAGCAAACATTTACCTAAGTTTAGAGGTCCTGTCACATGTAGAAAAAAAGGCTTATCTTATGCATTAACATTTTGAATAGTTTCAGAGAACAATTTAGAAAAGTCAGTGTTTAAAGCAAGATTTACCCCTTGTGCAACAGACATGTGGAATCACGAAGTTAGACTGCACTATACTGAAAATTTTGAACAAATTAAAACCAAAGCATTTTTAATGCTTATTCCAGTCACATAGTTGCAAGGTAGATGGAAAGTATCACATGAATCTTCAAAAAATTAAAGCACAGCTGTGATATTTGAGGCAGTTTTACTCTTTAGAAGGTCCTCTTGGAGAAGCTGGAATATCAGACAACTTCATCTGCTGGGTAGTTAAACTCCTGTGCCTTGAAAAAAGCTCTACACAGCTCCCCCAGAAGTGAGAGGCACATTTCATCTTACATGTGGAACAGAAATTGTTAGTTTCTCTACTGAGAAGCCTGTAGGGTTAATGAAGGCACAACAGATGAAAGTGGAAAGCAAGGAAATCAAAAATAGAGGTAGACTTTAAAGTCCATTCCTGGAGTCACACTGAGCCCGCTGTGCCGCGGTGCTCACCACACTGGACTTACCAGCTTACTTTTGACCAACTGTTCTATTGCACTGACAAGATCCGCAGCAGTTGGGACATCGGAGGAGCTCTGCCGAGCAGCTAGCAAAGAAGAGGACTGCAAGACACCAGTTTGCAAAGGAAAAGCAAGTTAGCAGGATGAGAAGGGTTAGGAAACCAGCAATAAGTGAAGCAGCTTCGGAGTTGGGGAAAGGATAAATGTGGAAGGGAAATGGTGGAGGCCCACATGCAGGGTCAGGAGGCTGTCTGCCACCTTATCAGAAAATTGCCATTGAATTCCAGCTACACATCGCTTTGTAGCAGGTCCCACACTGGGAACCAGTGAGATAAACCTGACATTCAGGTAGAACTCGGGTACAGCGTGCTTACCCTCTGCTGGGTCTTCCTTCTAAGGACTTCTGCTGTCTTACAGACACTAAAAAAATTGATCTTTCCATTGCAAATCTGAGAAATTACCTCCTCCTCCGTATGTGCACAGTTAACAAGTGCACTAAGTAAAGTTACATGTGGAGTTAAAGGCAACTGGACGGAAGAGAGCAAAGTTTCTTCTTCCTATCCTTCCCAAAGTTGAACTGCAGCTCCAAAGGAAGTCAGATGATGCCTCTGAACAGCACTCAGGTAACTACAGTCATCTAAAATCCACCTTTTCTCCCTCTGTGGCCTTCTGCAGTCAGCACAGAGAAAATGTTTTGATGCAACTCATCTATCCTATGTATCTAGCACAGGAGGAGATGCTCCCTCTACCCATTCACATTTTTTAAAATATTTTCAGTCTCACTTCTACATGCCTGTTCGTCATGGTGTTTGATTTTGGGCGCCTGACACTTAACACATTTGGTGAACTCTACATTTAGGCAGCTGTTACGAATCTCCAGAGTCGGCCCAAACATCACCCATGGCACTGTGAAGGCCTTGGCCTGCATGCAAAATGTTCAGCTTTAGTTTAAGGTTTTTGCTCAAAATTGGGTTGCTCTCTTCACACCTTGGTCTTTGATCCAAGAAAAAAACAGTTTGAAAACCAAAACTCAGGTAATGCCTGTGGGAATTCGTATTTATTAGCTCACCTGTAAATATGCTGCTTCTGAACTGAACACAAGTGCTCACTAAAACTATGAACCCTTAAAAAAGCTGCTGTTGGCTCACATTGTCGCAGACACGGCCTGGCTAAATTTTTATAGACACTGCATTCAAATTATGAAAAAGCTTATTCATCTCTGTCACTTACTCAAGGTTTTCCGGAGAGTACCTGTTTCAGAGAAGCCACCACACAAGTGCCAATGAACATGCATCCATGATTAAGTAGCGCTGGGGAAGGAGACGTGGAGAAGTGATAGCAGGAATTAGGCAGCTCTTTAAGCAGCCCTTTGGGGTAGCTGCTGATGTTGAGTGACAGCCCAGGAAAAAAAAAAGCAAAAGCAGAAGAGACTAATCCTACCCAGAAGGTTTTGGACAGAGAAGAAGCACAAACACTCTGCCACTTGTAGTCTCATCTTTCACTCAAATAATATATCTAATCAACACTTCTAATTTCAACAACAACAAAAATTACAGGTAATCAGGCTGGTAATTGAGGAATTAGGCTGGTAAAGCAGAAATCTCATAAAAACGTAAGAGATCAGACTGCCTGCTTCACCTGCAATGCAGATGGACGTGTCTAGCATGAAAAAATAGAAGGCCGAAAGCCGGGATTTTGAAGAGATACTGGACAAGTGCTTAGATGATAACTGTCCAACATAAGCATTCTAGCAGGAGGAATCCACTTTTTGGAAGCACTGAACAGCTGTTGCTCTCACTTCTTTTAACTGAAATTGCTCAATATCTCTGACGAGTAAATAACTGCAGATTTTTAAAGGGAGCATGAAAACATTTGCTGCATGCAAGTCTTTCAGAGTCAAATAAAGCTCTTCTGTGTAAGTGAAATAGAAAAATGGTATTTCCATTTCGCAGTGAGTAAATTATGATTTTCTAATAAAAACGGTGTCCTGCGATTTATCTTTATAACAGCCTCCAGAAGCAGCAAAGCACAGTTACTGCAGTCTTGCAGGCAGGGAGGGTGGACGGGGATGGTGCAGGCTGCTCCCCGCCAGCCCTGCTGGGTCGTTGCTAATTTAACACAAGCCAGGACCTATAAGCAGCATGAGGACACAAGCAGGGAGCTGTGCCCAAATTAACACCGTTGAAGAGCTGTTGGCTCCAGTGCGGCTCCAACATCGCTCGCTCAGTGTTTCCCTGCCAGGGAATTCAGGAGCCACGTTTGTGAGCTCAGGTCTTTTACACCCCTGGGACAAAAGCGCAATTGGGAAAGAAGAGGAGAGAGCAAAAGGGTTTTAGAGGCTTCTTGGTCTGTTTAATTTTAACTGTGCGAAGAAACAGGGTACCAAAAGGCTCTACAATGCCCAGACACCCAGAGAAAACAAGAAGTTTAGCTTTCAATTTTGGTGCTGTCAGAAAATTATTATTTTAATAAATCCTGGAATTGAGTGGTGTTTTGAAAATCAGAAGTAGTAACTAGAGCTAAAGCAGCTTTGTTTTGCTAAAAATGTATACATAAAAATCTAAAAAACGCAGTCCCCAACAGGGTTAGCTCAACAGTGTGGGGAACTCGCCAGGCACAAGCGCTGCTCCTGCTCCTGGGGATGGATCTGCCAGAGCTCTGCTGTCCCGGGCGCTCCCCGCTGCCCCTGGCCAGGCGATGCTCCGTGCGCAGGAGTCCAAGGCTCCAGCTGCTCCCCCTGCTCCTGCTGCCACCACAACGTCAAAACAGTCCCTGAAGGATGAGCGAGAAGCCCCCGAGTCTTCTCCTCCACCACTCTGACCCCCATGTGGCAGCAACACTCCCTTCGTTCTATATTCGCAACCTGCTGCCTCAACCTTCCCCAGGACTCTTATGGATTTTTTGACAATTTATTAATCTCTCCTACTTTTGCTTCTTTGCATGCAGCAATTACAATCAGAGGACAGAAGTACAGAAGTGGCAGTGCCAAAAACAGTTAACAGCAGGAAGGCAGGAAACAGCTAAACAGGAGGATGAATTTCTACAAGGGAGATGTCAGCACCAGGAAAGGGTGGGGGAAGCCACATAGACAGGACAGGCACTAACTGTGGACACAAACCACTCGCACGGCTGTATTCAGAGTCCACGTCAGACAGAGCAATGGCAGAACTCACTCTGAAAGCAGCTGCACCAGCTACCGCTGCAAAACCCTGACTTCACATCCGACAGACCCCAGCTAGTCACGTAACTCCTGGTAAAAGTGGTATTTCTGGATTCGAACAGACTCCAGCATTTGCCTCGCTCTCTGGGCCACAGCTGGCACCAAATGACATTTCTGCTGCTACTGCCAGACCCCAACAGCACTTCTAAAACACCTGGAGAACAAGCATTACCAGCCTGAATGGAATTTCTGACCGCACAAAACACAAGCACTGTCATAAAATAGGGCACCAAAGCTAAATTGCTTACAAGGCATTATTGGTAAATCTAATTGGTGAAAGATATTAGATATAATCACGCACTGTTGTCTATTAAAACCACATGCCTAGTCACTGAATCCTAGATGATCACTATTAAACCAAATTAGATGTCTCTAAATGGCACACGGACACGGTAGGGGAGGTCTTACCATCTCATCTTGGGTTGGATCATTGTCAAAAATCTTCATAGGAGGAGGAAGGGGTGTGTGGGATTCCTCGTCTGGTTCATCTTCTCCCCAACCCTTCTTGCTCTTCTGGAGAAAAGTTAAATATAATTAGGAACAGGGAGAGGTTTCTTTGCTCTTTTTAGATATCTGAGTCCCACCACCACGCTTTCGGTCTGTTTGGAATAGTAATGGCAGTTCAGTATTTGGTTGGGGTGGAGAGAACTGCAGGTAATACCACGTGTCACCAAAAAAGAGGCAAGAGGAAAGACAGAAGTTTTTGCCTGTTAATCCTGATGTATTCTAGGAGTTACAGAAATATCCTTTTTCAAAACAGACATCAAGAGTCACTTCACAAACAGTTAGCAGGTCACCCGACCAGTTAAAGCAGTTAGGGTTCTCTGTGCTGATGGAAAAACATTCTCTAATTTGAAATAGCATAGATCAATGCACAGTTTTAAAAACACGCTGCTCCATTTGTGCTCAGTTAGTATCCCCTCCATTCTCTGCTTGTAATTCCTCATGCAGTTTAGGAAAGAGCCATTCTAGCAAAGAACATGACTGCAGAGAAACGTGGGGCTATAAATACTTAGCAGATTTAACAGAAATGTGATTATTTCTCTGAACTTTTTCCTTCATTAAGGAATTACACTGCCAAGGTAGGATAAAGGTGATATGAACCTCAAAGGAAACTGATAATGGCTGCTCAAAGATAACTTAATTTCTATTCCTAATCCTCCAGATTTCTGGTAGACTATTAAAAGAATCACATCAAAGGCTGACAATATATATGCAGGCTCTGAAATCCTGTTCCCTGTATGTTTCACTGCTCTTCAGGTGACAGAACACTGTGATACAGCATTAACCGGTTTAATTTTACGTATAATTCCCTGCTCCTCCTGGTTCCTAAGGGAACCCCATCCCTCCAGCTGGAATGCGCCCCCCAGGACAGACTACCAGCAACACGGGCTTCCCGGCAAGCACCAACACGGACCTCATCGGCGCTGTCTCCTTGCGGGGTGGTTTCATCTCCGGTCTTTGGGGAGCCAAGGTCAAAGCTCTTCCTGCCGTCCCGCACCTTCTTCTGTTTCTTGATGTTGCTCTCGGCCTTGCCGCTGTTCAGCCGGCGCACGGGGCTGGTCAGCCACTTCTTCAGCGTGTTGGTTGAGCGCTTGGGGCCAGGAGAGCTCTGGATGGAGTTGAGGGATGGCTGAGGTTGCAAGTTGGCCACGGAATCGGATTTGCCCCCGTTGTCATTGGAAGAGACCGAATAGGCATCTGTAAGAGAGCAATGAAGGGAAGGGATTATGTCGGGCCCTGCTTTATTTCCAAGTTCAGTTCAAACATTCGTCATTCATAAACACTAAAATGCAAGATTCCTTGATGAAAAGTTTTGTGACCTATCAACACTGTATAAACTTCACTGCACACCAAAGAGAGGAATACAGTGTGCTGCAGAGATTTTTCTTCACGGTCTCATGCACTTTCCTCATTTCCTACCTCACTATCTATCCTTATGAAACATTGCAGGCAGCACAGTTATCTCGTTTGTGATGAAAAGCCTGAATTGGAAGTTAAGTGCTAAATTTCTCAGTTTCTTCCCACAGATTTCATTGTGAATTGCTGGGAAGAAAATAAGCCCGAAAAGGAGATTACTACAGGAGACCTGACAGCCACCAACACTTTGTCAGGTCCTGATTCCGTAAGTGTTTCTCAGCAGTTTTCAGACCCCAATAACATTCTAACTTTTAGTTAGAACATTTATTATCTTTTGAAGGTTATTTAAATTGCCTTAAAATTATCTCCTTTGCCCCTGAAAGCAATTTGTCAGAACATTTCATACCTTCTTTAGAACGAAAAAATTGGGACGAGCTATTACAAAAGATGAGAAACTGTTAGAACCAAAGAAAGAGATATAAGGCAGGCTTGAAATTAAAAAAAAAAGATTTCTATTAAATCCACATGCACAAGTTTTTACTGAAACATATTCAACTGTAATTATCAATACACGTGTTCAGACTAGCACCTCAGAAATGGGTGCGACTCCCTCCAAAAGCAACATGTGCCAATATCAATAGGCCTTTAAAAACAAAGTAAACAAGTTGCTGGAAGATTTCTCAATTGCCCTTTAGGAACAAGTGACCTGCTCTCACCTTGCTGAAACTGTGGCAAAGGCAACTCCCTCCCCAGAAAGGATCAGGGCCTGACAAGTTTAACATCACACAGTTGAAGAGGGAATCAATTTTTACAGAATTCAGAAGTCCGGTCACACACTTGTAAGATATGTCTCATACTGTACACCAGAGAGCAGTCACCTGATGGGATTACTCATTTCTCTTGGAATGGGTAAGAGATTCAGAGATAAACATCTCAAAAAAAAAATCAAAACCAGAAGTTACAACACAAGAAAATAGCTTGGTGAATCCAGAAATTCTCAGTTCAATAACAAATATCATTACAAATATTGTGTAATACACATGCTGAGGGCAAGTTATTCTCCCTGAGAATAGCTAACTATATCATTTTAGAAACCAATATCTGCTACCTGCATCCAAACCTCCTACCTGCACTGCGCAGAGAGCTCTGCTGCTCACAGTGGGCTATTTACTGAGCAGAAATTGCAGTCTACTTGTCTGCCAGCTTGTAAAATGCAGACCATTACAGTTGTAATATTTTACTACCAGACAGCCGCAGTCAGAAGATGAACCAGTAATCTATTACATACCTGGAATCAAAAGTTAGGTTTCTAGAGCATATGGAAATACTTGTAATAAGCTAGAGGAAGTCAAAGTTCATTTCCCAGACAGGAAGAAAATCCAAATAATCTGTCTTGTGACAAAGAGAAGAATCAGTTTGAGAGTGGCTGGGAAGAGGACAGATCCTAGGTGCACTTGGTTGGATTTTTGCAGCCCACTCGTTTCAGACATTCCTCCATAGCGGCAAAGTTACCATCTTATCTCAAAAAGGCTTCGTTCTGGCCAGGTCCTGTCGATGTTATTTCACACACACCAAGTAGTGTTAAATCCACCAGAACAAGATAATACTTCTGCAGGGGCCAGCTTATCTTCCATTCAATAGACTTGTGATACTCTCCTCTCAGGCTCCACGTGATGCTTTGGGAGTCAGAGCTTATCAGCGTACCTTGCGTCAGCAAAATGCAGGTTTTCAGCATGGTAAACTGGAATGTTTGAGCAACCGGCAGGTTGCAAGTGCCCTCTCTCCTCTGTCCCCACAGCAGCACTTAAATCCCTGCACGTGCTTGGGGAGCACGAGTGCCTCTGACTCGCAGCCTGGCAGAGCCTCCTCCCTGCCAAAAGGCTCTTCTAGCTCTGTGTGCCCGTTCAGGTGGCTGCGCTCCGCCTCAGGAAAAAACAGGAATGTTGGTGCAAACAGAGCTTGCCTGTAGTCATGGAAGAAGAACTGCTAGAAGAATTCACTCTTTCAGGGTTGTTGTTTTTTGGGGGTGGTTAAGGGGAAAAGAGCCATACCAGAGACTCCCTCTGTTTGCTGGAGACCAGACGCAGGGGAGTAGTTGAGAAAAATAGGGACGAGCTAATCTCCCGGATCGCTGTTGATTAATGTACAAAGAGCTTTTTACTACAGCTTGAAAATAACATGATCCAAACACGCCACTCTGGTGCAAGGAACCTTGCCAGTGTACATTTTAGCAAGGGAAAGGCTCCGACGGGCGCCTACATGGCGCAGCCGACAGCCCTGTACCCGTAGGAGCCATCGTGCTCACACGGAGCCAAGGGGTCCCCCCTCGGCCAGGCGGGCTCTGGACAGGCACAGGCCTGAGCAGCTCGGCAAGGCCAGGCAGGGAAGGAGCAGGGACTCCCCCCCAGCAGGACGCGTCTCGGAGCAGGGCCGGATCTCAGTTTCATTCCCTCCCGTTCTCCACACGACACTGCCAACGTGTGGGACACGGCTGGCCACACAGTTTCTCTTACACCACAGCAGCTCCTACCTCTAGGCAATTCACGGGAGGCAGAAGTCAAACATTTCTTATTTTCATGCAGAAAAAGCAGTGGACTGGATAGAGGCACCCTGAGTCCTGGAAACCCCTCCAGACAGAACATTAAGTCTCCTGAACAGAAAGCTGAGATGAAAGAAGAAACAAAAGAAAACTCAACTGTCCATCCTCCTCCTTATCCACTGAAGCGCTTCCACTGACCTGTCTAACACAATCTGGGACAGAGCCACAGGGTTAGCTGGGACCGCACGGCCAAAGACGGGGAGTGCTCGGTGCCCTGCCTTGATTTCCCTTTCATCTGCTCTATGCTGTTAGGAAAGGCAAGGAAGCAGAATGGTCCAATCTTTCCAGCATCCCCAAAAGTCTCTATGGATGCGATGAGTTTCCTCTATCCAGTACCCTACGCATGCCTAAACCACTCCCATCCCATCTCCATATTTATCACCACCTCCAAACATACACTATCCACGCCCCCCCCGCCAAAAAAAGCACACACCTAGAGTCTACACAGGATATTTCTACCCTTTTCTTCCTTTTTTTTTTAAATATCTGCAAATGTGGCAATAACTTTGAGCAAGTGACTCTTACTCTCTGAGTGACTCCTCAGGCCGGCCGAGGGCCATTCCCTGCACACACCAAGCAGGTCGCCCCGACGGGGCCAGCGGCTCAAACTCGAGCACAGCTCATCAAGCAAGGGACACGAACTGCGAGCCGTGCTGTTTCGGTGGTGTCTGTGGTCACGCATGTATGAATATGGACACATTAATAAAATGGCACTCAGTGGCAGGCTGAGATCTAGACGTGGAGAGGAACAAGCAGGACAGACAGGGGGTCTGGTTGCTGCCGTCCCCCCGCTGCAAAGCCCTGCACGTACCTGCTCTGCAAGCTGCGCTGCTCAAGCTGCTACACAAGGCAGTTTGGCTGGTACATGCAGCGAGCAGGTCGGAAAAGCTGCGGAGTTGTGTTTCTTGGCAATTCGGGCAGTTGCTGTTACCCACAAAGAGCAGCAACCCGAGCGCTGCCCTGGCAGCGCCGCGGAGCTGTCGGGACGCCAGGTCCTCTGCAAACAGCCGCAGCGAGCGGCCAGCGCCACCGCCGCCCGGGACACGGGCGGCTAAATAAAGGTATCTGGTGCAGAGAAATGGGTGTAGGGAGGTCAGCAGACTAGTGTGGCTGGGCTGATTTCCTGGCCAAACTATTCATTCAGGCTGAAGAAATAACAGTTTCCAAAACACCCCTCAGCAAACCTCCAAGAAACTTCTGGCAAGGCAACTGTGAGAGATCTTCAGCCAGACGGGAGAGCTTTGACATTCGGAGCTTTTGCACGGCCAGCGTCATGAAATCTTTGTTGTTGTTCCTGAAATTAACAGACGTCCACAAAAGCACAGCTCTCTTACCTGGAAAAAAACCTAAGGATCCAGTTATATGCAACTTTGGGCGAAAGGGAAAGAAAAAATCTTACAAGCCAGTTTTAGAAGCTCAGTTGTATTCCCACTTGAGCCAGTAGGAATTGCTGTTGGAACTAAAATACAAGATGTTTTATTTTTATTTTTACCTCCTTATTCCCCAGAGCCTGCATGGGAAGGGAGGTCTGATCAGACTCAAGCAACATCTAATTCATCTACAGGAACTCAAATCCCTAACAAGAAAGAGGGAAGACTTCTCAGAACTATTTTAAAGAAAACATCAGGCTGCTCTTTCTGATGCAAACCAACCCACAGGCTGTACATAATAGAAGGGAAATATGTTCCGATAGCCAGATGTTAATCACAATCTAGCTCTGAAAATGTGTGTCTACAGCAAGGCTCAGTCATGGGAAAAGCTGAATTATTGCACCTTAATTCTCTGTACGGCTGCATTTCTCACTCCAGAAAAACGTCCCGAGAGAAAAGGCTTTTTCCACAGAAGCTGAAGATGATGAGCCAGACTGGGAACTCTGTAATCCTAATAGCATGTGCATTTAAAACAACACTGGTTTTCATGGAAATAATTCCACTCATGAAGGAAAGCCAATAATGACAATCTGACCAATGAGCACATACATTAACCCTGCTGTGCTCGGCAGAGCCCATTTTCCATATTTAGTGATTTCTGTAAAGTGACATTTCTTACAAAGATGGACTTGAATCAGATGTGGGTGAAAGACTAATTTTGTTTTTACTCAGCTGCTACTTCCTTAAACACGGGAAGATTTTCTACACTAGAAAATCTTGGAAAGCAGGAGACATATAGACACTCTCCATGCACTATCGAAACCTCTGCGCTAGTATTTCATGCTAAACAAATAAGAATCATCTACATCACC